TTCTACAAATAATGATAAAAACACGAGAAAAACGGAAATTGAAATGTTAAATTTGACAAATATAACAGTTCTGTACAATATCTAAAAAAAACTATTAAATTTAAAACTAATTTTTACTAAAATTTTATTTACAATCATATTTTGTGAGGCGGCGGAATGTAATACTTAAATAGGGTGCTGACGAAATTAAAATTTTACATAGTTTTTGAATTGTTCAAATTTTGTCATGCTTTTTTTTCAAAATTGTTACCGAATAGTTATTAATTATGATATACACAGTTTAAATTTGCATTATTTTTTATTTTAGTCCAATGAACTGTATTGAAACCTAGTTTTTTTTTGCCATGACGAAATTAGCAACTCCACATGACGAAATTAAAAACTCAAAGTTTTTGCTGACGAAATTACATGACTTTTGGAGATATTTTAAAATTTAAAAAAATATAATAATTCACAAAGTAACTGTCTGAAAAAGTTAAAAATAATTTTGTCAACATTCCAAACTAACAAAAAATTATAGTTTTGTTGCACACACATTAACTCTTCGAAATACATCGTTAAAAAACCGAAAAAGTCCCTTAACATGACGAAATTACCTTACTTTACCTTATTTATCTTTTTGAATATATTGTTTTAATGCATGATTTTTTTTTGTCTTCTATTAATTTTCAAATTTCAAAATGTCACAAAAAAGGCATTCATTTAATAATTACCCTGTGTACGAGTAGCATGTTTCGATTCAACCATTTGATTTTTAGAGCTTGTACTTACATTCATACATACATACATATGAACCATATAAATATATAATTTTACATTTAAATAACCATATTGTATTGCAAACAAAAATATTCGAATAAAATTAACCATATTACAAAATTAATACATGATTTTTCTGTTTATAAAATTCTTTCTTCCATCTGAAAGAGTGTTGTAAGAATTTTATAAACAGAAAACAGGACGGGCAGACAGAGAAAACATTATTTACTATGAGTAAGTAAATGAGTTTATTTATTATGAGTAAATATTTTTCTAAACATTCAGAAATATGCTACAAAATCAGTTAAAATACAAATTTTGCGTTGACTTAGACGTGATCTTAAAAATTTTATTTTGTATTATTAAAAGTTTAACTATATTACTTTCATAATTCAGTAGAAAATTTTTCAATGTGAGCAAAATTTTTAAATTAGCTATAACAATTAATAAAAATACATTTTTATTGTTATTTTAAGTATAACATTATCAATTACACTTATGCGACCTTAGATTATTAATGGTGGAGTATTTTTATATACAATGCTAATAAAAAAAACTTTTTATGTTTTGAAATTATTACACACCTATGAGTAAGGAGTTTATTAGAAGGTAAGCTGATATGCACTCACTTATCGGATACAAAATGTTACCTATATACTTATAGGTAATAAAGTTATTTTTATCATCATTTTACAAATAAAAATATGAAACTTTTCCAGATATTTTATACCTATACATACTACGAAACAAAGATTAGATAAAGAAATTAAAAAATAAAATAAAACGAGCTTTATTGCAAATTACTTATTGAAAAATTATTAATTTAAAAAGGGGAAAATATGTGTGTGTGTGTATATTATATTTGAAAACAAAAAAAACACTAACACACCTTTTCCGAATGACGCACCTAAAAGACGTAAGCAAAGTAAGAATAAATTTAATTGACGTTCTTTTTAGTAATTTAAATCAATTCTATTTTCTTGAACGTCCAAACGCTTTATACAGCTACGAGCTGAATTTGTTGAATATCAACCATATTAGTCCAACCATATTGTTTTCTTGAAATCTTCATCATTTCTTGTAAAACGTAACGAAAAATAAAAAACACAAGAATTAAAAGTATCCGAAAAAACTATTTCGAATGTAAAAATGTTTACCAAATAACAACAAAAAGACTTTTCACATTTAAGTACTTCTTCTGGAACACTTGGAAACTAATATATTGAATTACAATACATCAAATACTTATACATTTTGAAAAAGAAAGTACCATTCTTATTTTATTTAATAAAATTTTTAAAAATGCATTAGAATATTAACCTGCTCTTTGTAACAGTCAAATACAATTGATTATCACGTAATATATATGGGTCAAAATTTAAAAGTTTGCACAAATGAATTTTTTTTTTTCCAAATTATTTTTTTAGAATTTTTTATTAAAATAATTTTTTTATAGTTGCCTAATATATAATGTACAATCTCCTCAAGTGGTCTGGAGGTTTTGTAAATATTTTAGAAATTATAACCAAAAAAGTAAGCTCAGGTTTGAATTTAGTTCAACTACGTTACCGATAAAAATATCTTAAATTTTTCGATCTCTTCAATGGAAATTATTATTTTCATATTTTACTCTCATTTGTAATTAAAGTTATAAATAAATTTATTCTGTAATATTGAAAAATCATTTTTATAAAAAAATAAATTATAAGTTATTTCAACTGTGTTACTAATTTTAAATTTAAAGTTTTTATTTTTAAAATAAAACTATTTAATAGTTTTTTTCTTGCAGGAATTTTTACATAACTGCTTTAGAAATTAATTTTTTATTCTAAAAATGTCCATAACAAAAAAATTAAGAGCTTAAATTTGAAGAAAAAAGTTTAAAACAATATTTTTTTTTGATTTTTTTTGTGACAAAACAGTAACGCAGTGGAAAATATAGTAACACTGTTGAAAAATTTGATTCAGTCTTCAGTATATTAACAAAAAAAATTAAAACAAAAACAGTAAATTTCATGCTGTTGTTTAATATGCTAAGATATTAACTTTTTTCCTCTCGATGAAGTTGTATATATTCGGTTAAGTTTTTCATTTGCATTTTTAACAATATACATATTTAAAATATAAATAGATAGTGGCATTTTGTATAATAATCAATAAAATATGTTATCGCCTATTTGTATGTAAAATTATTAAGAATTTATTCACCAACTTAGAGTAAACTGCCTTAAAAATCAACTTTCTTACCATGTCTTCAGTAGTGTTACTTAAATTTAGTAACACAGTTGAACAGTAACGCAGTAGAATATTTTAAAATAAAAAGTATATTAACATAAAACTACAACATATTTTTGCATTTTAAAGTATACAGTTGGTTAGTTTACTTGGTTTGCTTAATAATATGCCACTTTTTTGAATTTTTAAAAAAAATATTTAAACAAAAACCACGTAACACAGTTGAAAAAAGCGTTTTACATTCACGGCAAAAAAAATTCAAACTATCTCCAGCGATGTGTTTGGAACAACATTCACCACTAGCCCGAACAGACTTATTACGTATTCTTTAAAACAAATAATGATGCCAAAATATTTAAAAAAATGATTAATTTTAAAAAATTTTATGATGTAACATAGTTGAAGTAACGCATTTGAACAATTCTAGTGACACACTTTTTTTCTGTTAAAATTACATTAAAATAAATTAAAACTTAAAAACTAATTTTTGATTTTTATTTAAAAATAATGAAATAATTTTGCAATGTAATTTAAAATATATCCTTCTGTGGGGGAAGTTCATGAAAATTTAAATTGAAAATTAAAAATGTGGTCTGTGACAAGTTTCATTTATATGAAAACAGAAAACGCGCTCCGACAATTTTCCAAAATTTTCCAAAAATACTTACTTTTGCAATCTAAAAATTTTTTTTATTTAAAATTAAAGATTTTATAATTTTTATTTTATTAATTAAAATTTGATTTATTTTCTAAAAAAGTATTTATTTAAGCTTACTTTTTTGTGACGCAAATGTGCTAACTTTTAAATTTTCACCCATATATATATATATACGTAATTTAAACCTTCTGATCAATAAAAATAAAGTGGTGTATAAATAGTTGTAATAAATTTCATTACTTACGAGTAACAAATGTAATGTAACTATGTAAGTAGTAACAAATGTTTATCAATAAAAATGGCTCTTCCCGGTATGTCACAATACGGATATAATTACCATTTAAAATTAGATAATGAATTTTCTCATAATTTTTTCTCATAAATAATTGAAAAATATTTCCAGGTATCTAATTAACTTTATACATACATATTATCTATAATAATTTGATTTTCAATAAATTAATTGAGTTTGTTAATTTCATTACCAACATATCAGATATTTACACTTATCACATCATATTGAAAATCTTATCAAATTGAAAATGCAATAATATCCAATTACTTACATAATTATAATTACAAATTATTTCTAATACTATGTAATTTACAAAATTTTAGAAATTTTAGTGAATGAAACAAAATACAATCAACTTAGGGGAACTAAATAAAATGAGATTAAAAACTTATTAAAAATGCTCACTTTTTTATTATAAATGTTTTAGATTCTAACAAATTTAGATTCTGAAATAAGTAGTTACTCTTTAATTTTTATTAATATAGTTAACACCAATTTATAGAAAGTGAAGTATACTAGCAAGCTCTAATGTCAGATGGGACTCTATTCGCAAAACCCCATCTAATGCCATGCCTTACCTTAAGTATTTTGTGTACATAATAATAGGCAATATTTTAAACTTTAACAACTTAACGTTAATAAAATTATATTTATAATAATAATATTGTTATTAAATTATAACCATAATTAAATTAAAAATAAATTGAAAAATAAATATGAAAAGTAATTACTAATATATTATAATATATACTAATTATATATACTAATTAATAATAATAGGTAAATGAATATAATTATAAGTATAGAAAGGCACTTAATAAACAGTTTGAATAAATATGTTTACTTAATTGGATTTAAAGCATTTACCAGAACCAAGCATAATCAGTGCCAGAAAAAGCATAATAATATTATCACCAAGCAAATATATATATAAGCATATAAGCTAATGAAAATTACTTTAGAAAAACTTAAAATAAATGATTGAATTTATTATCTACATAGTTATTATATTATAAAATTGCAATTAGTACATAATATGTATGAGGTACTTACAATATATTTTTCCAAATGTTCATGTTCAATATCAGCATTTGATCTTTTTGTTGGTAAAATTTTTGAAATTGATATTGAGGACATTTTTATGTATTTTCCTTTTTTAATTTTTCTCTTATTCCTAAAAGGTGTATCACCTGGCTATAAACTAATTTTTTTCTTATTTTAAGTATGGGTACAAATATAAATTTATGTATATATAAGTATATATATATAATTATACAGGTATACATAAATGTAAATAAATAAAATATAAATATATATATATAAGTATATATGTATTATAATTAAGAAAATATTTTTGAAAATTTTAATATTCTTTTGTTTTAACAAATAAAATATTTTATTTCATTTTTTTTTTTAATATTTTTATAAAGACTAAGTATCACATACAAATAAGCAAGTAATATTGATTAGATTCAAGTAGATAAGTAAATATAGAGTCCAGTTGAAATAACAAAAAATGGAAATTAAAATTTTTTGTATTATATAAGTATAGGTGGGTAAACAAAAAAGATTAATTCTAATTAGAATTTTATGACTTCATTTAAATTCACGACTTTTATATTTTTTAATATTCAAAGGTACCTATACCTACTTTTCCACATGCAAACATATTATTCTCGTGGCTACGTATTTGTAATTTTATTAGGTAAGTAGGTGCAGGTACATTTATTTTAGTTATATTAGTATAAAACTTATAATTTATAAATTAGAAATATATACGCAGCTACACTTATGTTAAATTGATATGTAAATAAAACGAATTGCAATGATTCACAATTTAATTATCACAAAATTTCCTATTTTTTTTTTTATATTTTTTCTAACAAGTATTGGTAAATTTAAATTGCTTTTTAATGTTTTCCAAGAAATTATGAAATATTAAAAATTTATTAATGCGTATTTTTTTAGGTATGCACTTTTTTTCAATTACAAATTTTATTTATTTATAAGCTTCTTTTTTTAATAAACATTATATCATACATACATATATACATTTATAAAAATATGAAATACAGATATGTAGCCAAAAATATAATAACTAAACAGGTAAAATTAATTTATTGAAATGTGGGATGTGTAATATAATTAAATTCCTTATATTATACACAAATCTTAACACATACATATATTACATTAGGTAAATATAATCTAAAATTATTCACTTATGAATTTTGTAAATATTCAATATAGGTATCTATAGGAGATTAATAAACATAATACGCATGCATATGTATTTATGTATTATACCTTATGTATAATATTTAAAAAAAAATATTAATATTTCTTTCACAATAACCTTTTGTCAATTCTTTCACAATAAACCTTTAATGAATGAAATAAAAACTAACAAAAAAAAAAAACTTGTATTATTGTTTCAATTACAATTAAACACGCATTAAACCGTTCACACCCAAGTCTTTTTAATAACTGTCAGTTGAACGTCAATGGTAAAATTGATGATGATTATTTTATCGCAGACTTGAAAAAAGAAAACAACAAAAAATAAATAAATATGGAGACGAAAAAGAGTTGAAAAAAATGACATTTCTGGAATGTAATGACAACTGGAATTCTGAAAAATGAAAAACAAACTATATTGGAATATGTTAACTGTTCAATAGAGAAACGAATTGAATTGAAATTGAAATTTAAAAAAAAAATATTTTTTTGAAAAAGAAAATTGGCAATTATTTATTTTCAAATATGTGGACTGTTATACGAACGTATGTATGCACATTATACAAAGGTAAGTAAATAAAAATTTTTATTATTTTGTCGTTATTTCCACCAAAACCATAAAAGTACTATACAAAAATGAGCGGAAATGTTAACAAATATTATCAACAACACACGTGATTAAAATTTCAAGAAAATTGTTTTCTCTGTAAAATTCTTATAATTTTTTATGTGCATAAATTTATTTTTTATTGTCAAAATGACTTTCTTTTAGTGATTCGATTGTAATTAAAGCATGTGCACAAGTATAATTGTAAATAATTATGTAGTAGGTTCATACTTATAAATCAAAAAACATATTTAAAATCAAACAATTTATTTTATCAAAATAAAATTTCTTTCAAAAACATTTGTGAAATTTGGATTTTAAATTAAAAAAAAAAAATAATGAAAAAACAGGGATCAACTTATAAATTAAACTCAAGTCAGTCAGCCAGCTTAATTTCAATAAAAACTATTGTATTTCCAGATAAACTAAATGCGGACAATTTATCAAATACACATAGTTTTGCACAAAATTCCTTACTGAAAAAGGAAAATCAACGTAAAAGTAGCAAAACTAATTCAATTGAGTCAAAAAAAATCGAATCAATTAGAAAAGGTGAATCGAAAATTATGCAAACAGAATCTAAAGCAGAAACTTCCCCAACAGATACGAAAGAAGCTTTTAAATTACTTCATCAGAAACATATTTCTGCATGCTCTGAAAGTGAAGCAATAGATTCAGAGCATAAGTTAATAGGAAAATACAAAAATAAAAGTCGGATCGATAAGAAAAATAAGTCATTTAAAAAATATAACCAACTTTACATTTTACATTCTAAAAATATTCAGAAACCTGGTTCCCTAAAAAATCGAAACTTCAAAGGAAATAATTTTCAAAAATTTTTTCAACAGAATTCAATCAATAGAATTATTGAATTAGCTGATAATGTAGAAACATCAAGTGAAGAACGTAAACCTTTAGAAGAAAATAGATGCATCGAAATCGATTTGGAAAATCCTTTCAATTTAGATTATCATGGTTTAGACTACCAAAATACATATAAAAATGACGAACAAAACTTTCAAAATATTAGAGAATACCGGAAAATAAAACGTTATGCAAATCGAATTCAAACGAAAAAGAATATTGATAGAATATGCAAGGAAGAAGATGAAATTGATAAATTTGCAATACCACCTTATTTTAGCATTAATATATCATATGATTCGAATGGAGATCCTATTGAATTTTCAAAACTGAATAAGTTATCTTCAGATTCTTCAGAAAGTTTTCATGTCGGACCACTTTATCGTACCGAAAAGAAACCAATCAATCGTTTTATTATCAAAATGGAAAGGAAACAAAGGGAGGGCCGGTATCGAAATTTAATTGAGAGAAATAAGGAATATAATGCGGAAATCGAAAAAATTAAGAAGAAAACTGCAGAAAATTTCAAACAAAATAAAACAGTAATTGTCGCAGAAGAAACTTTCAATAAATTTTACAATAAGAAGTCATTTAATTCTGACACATTAAACACAGAATTAACCGAAAAAAAGACTAAAATTTTTCCATGCACCCTACCTGAAATGAAGAAGTTAAAACATAAAATGAAAGTATTGAAATTTATTGATTTTGAAAAATGCAAACTACGTAAGCGTTTCTTCAATAATATAGGAACCCCAACACAATTAGAGGAAACCAAACTTTTTTCAATGAGTTTATCAGAATTTTCAAATTCAGAACAATCCAATAAAGATGATGACAATATTGAAATTAAACGGGAAGGGGAAAAATATTACTTAGAAGGGTTTCATTATCGGACTGGAAACGAAATTTGCGATAAATATTCGAAAACGGATAAATCTGTTGAAGTCAATATTAACCGGAAAGGTAAATCTCTAAGATAAAAATATCTAAATGTTATTCCATTGGTTTTTTATTTACCTATAAAATAACCTGAAAGATATAAGAAAAATATACTTAATGATATAAGAAAGTTATTTAGAATTATTATTTATTTAAAATTAATTCTACATATTATTTTAAGTTTGCTCTAGGCTAGGTTCATCGTTTTTGAAAGAGCTTAATACAGAAACTCCTAAATACAACGCGTCGCATAATAGGTCGAATTTTCAAAAATCAAAAATTTATCCTTCTACTTTCAAACCAGCACGAAAAACTGAAGCGGTGCATCCTTTAAGAGAAGTCGCTAAACCATTTGGCGAGAAATATAAATTTGTTGTAAAACGAAATATTGAATGTAAAAAGCCTAAAGCTAACAAAATTAAAAAATTTAATTTATATAATTATATATTTAGTGATGATAAAACAAAGATATCGGATTCTACTGAATACTATCATCTCGCAAAAATGGAAAATATAGAAAGCATCTCAGAATACATACGAAATAAAAAGAAATTTAAAAATGATGTAAGACGTCAGAAACGAAAACAACGCTTAAAATATTTAGGTATTTCGTATAAACCGAAGCAATCGAATCATTTATCTTTTTGTCGAGAATCATCTGAGTCTGAAGATTCCGATTGGGTACCTAAAGAATATAAAAACGTTGCAAAAATTGACTGCGAACTCCTTTCAAAAGAAAATTTGCCAAGATCTAATTGCACTCCATTTGCAAAAAATACATTGACTAAGTTTAAATATATGCCAGCACCTCGATTTCGTGAGTCAACACTACAACGAAATCCTAATAATATCCGTGATTTAAACGAACAAGTATCTGAATCGGTCATTTTAGAAGAAGAACATACTAAATTACCATATCTCAAATGTCCAGAAAGTGATAAAAATATTCCAATGAAGCTAGGTGAACCTAAAAAAAATTTTATGACTTTTCTGAAAACGCGTCATCATCATGAACATCATCAAGCGACACAACATAAAGATCTTAAAGTGTTATTCAAGCCAAAATATCCCAAAATATCCCAAGTTAATAATTCAGATAATTTTGAAAAAACTACTAATAAAGCAAATACACAATTAAAGAATATTTTTAAACAAATCTCTGCATCCAAAATCAATAATCAGAACTCAGTTTCAATTGTATACAAAGAAAATAATCCTCCTAAAACAACAGAAAACCAAATTGAAACGGTAAAGTTGTTTTATTTATTAAAAAAGTACATATTTTGTAAATGTAGTTTAACTGAAGTTACTTTTTGTTTTAGAAAGACATTGAACAACAAAATATATTAGAACAATATCACAACAAATATGAATCGGTACTTTGTTTTCCTGATATTGACGATTTCCATCTGCTGATTGAGGAGATCCAAAATTCTGAAACTGAAAGCCCAGATAAAGAAGCGCAAGGGATGCAATTCAAAAAAGTGTCAAATTTATTGGACAAAAATGAAATTATAAAAAATTTCACAAATGAATTAGAAAGCATAAAGTCATGCCTATCTTCACTAGATAGTTCGATTTGCACAAATTTCACCAATGACAGTGGAAGCTTCCTTATGGCTACTAATAAAAAAATTCCACTTGATTTTTTACGAAAGTCGGTCATACCATTTGAAGAAACTAATCGTACACGTATTAAAGCAATACCAATACCACTGCATGAAAATGAAGAAGATCCTTATAAAGTAGTACATTTCGCTGGACAAAAAACTGAAGAAATAAAAAATGTCATATATGAATTTCATACTTTCTCTCATGAAAATCGTAAAGGTATTCGTGATCGTATATTTGTCCCGTTGACTAATATATCAAAAGTGAAATTGGGACTTAAGGGTTCTAAAAAATATACACCAAAATATGCCTCTGATTTAGATGAAATATATATTAAAGATTTAGAAAAGGGACCTGTAACAAAAATTTTTCGTCGTTCCTCAGCCCATTTACTTAAAACCGCATTACGAAAAAAATATATTTGTTGGTGCATTCAACAAAAGTTACTGGAACAAAAATCAGTCGATGAGAAACAATTATTATATTATATAAATATAGAAAAAATGAAAAATTTATTTAACAATTTCTTTTTCAAATTACAAAAAATGTATTATGACAAATTAAAAGAGGTTGAATATGAAATTGAACCAAATTATTTAATAACAAAAGATTTAAGAAATAAATTGAAAGAACTAGAAAAAGAAATGACTATTATTAGTATGAATATTATCTGCATTGAAAATAAACTAAATAAACTTGTTATTCTCCAAAATTTTCAATATTTGCTAAAAGATGAAAAATGGAGAATTGAACATGATTGGTTACACAAAAAACATGATGGTGCTTTAGAAAATTATCGGGATTCAATTGAGAAACGCTCCTCCCAAAACGTTCTTGAAAGAAATCGGGATGATGTTTGGGCCATTAAGAAATTTTATGAAAAACATTTTGTTAATTCCCGTCATCCTGTATTAATTTGCTTTCCAAATGCAACATCTTTCAATTCGGCTTTAAAGGACTTAGAATCAAAAACTTTTACCCAATTCATAAATTTGAATTCTATTTTAATATTCCACGCAAACTTGCAAAATCAGTATAATCAAATTTTGGTAAAGAGCAAAAATTGCCATTATAATGCAACGGGCCAATTAATTAGAATAAAAGACATTAAACAAACATTTATGTTAAATAGAAATATGGAATTGCAAAAAGAAACACAACATTTAAGTAATGAACCACTTGCCAAATCTGTCGCTTCAACAAATTTAAGAACTATAAAAGCTTTCGTTGAAGTACTCTACAAAAAACTTGTACCTTGGAGTATCAGACAGTCGATGAAGGAAGATGTTAGTTTTAAAGATCAAACCACTATCATTTGGGAATACTTATTAAATTTATTAGGTAAATTTAAAATATATGTATCTATTACTTAGCTCATTTGCCGCAACAGTGACATGATTTCTGATTCATATATTCAAAAATAAGCTCACTTAAAACATTTTTTGTGCAAAAAATTATTTCTCTAGCTTGAAAAATATCGCTTATAATAAATTATAAAATAATACTATACCTAACTGGATAAAATTATTTAATCCAAAATGTCCAATTTAAATCAATTGTTATGTCAGTGTTGAAGCAAGCAAACCAAATATGCATTTGTAAATGTGTGCATACTTACATCATAATTAATATTAAAAAAATATTTTATACAGCAAAAATTGACGAAATTCCAAAAAAAATCCGAGATTCTACAATGTTGAAATACCGTAGGCGTTTAAAAGTTGATACTTCAATTTCAAAAAAAGCAGTAGAAATAGAAAATCGTATTACTACTTCTATGAACACAGTTCAAATGCTTTTAAAACCACCAAAATTAAAAGATCGTAAGGAAACTTTAAAAAAATACAGTAGTATTAAATTAAAAAAAAAACGTGAAACAGACGAAATTAAGGAAGAGCCTATTCCAGAAAAAATTCAATTTTTTTATGAAGCCCTGCACGATATTCAAGATATGCCCGAAATTACTAAAAAAGATCACGTTGAAATTGAAGAAATTTTAACTGGAATTGAAGAAGAAAGTATTACATTCCATTTTGATCATTTCCTGCGTATTAACGATTATGAACCAGACTATAATTATAAAACACAAATAGAAATTATTGATGGTTCTGAAGAGAATTACTTCAAGTATGAAGATGTAATTCCATACGTAAAACAGCAAGTTGAGGTTTGGGAAAAAAATCGCATAATAAAAATTAAACAACATATAGAAGAAAATCAAAAATTATATACTGACATTAAAACTTAATTTGTCTTAAAAACATACCTAAAATAGTTAATTTTATTCGAAAAAATGTGGGTACACAATCAAAATTTACAATTTTGAAAATACGCAGAAACTCTGTTGGTTATTATTGCCTTAGTTTCATCACTTGTAAACGAATACTTGATTCCTAACTTACATAAATTGAATAAATCAAATTTATCAAGCCCAAATGTATCAACAGCGTATAATATTTCTTTCGACAAATCTGTATCAAACACTCCGCAATCATCTGTACAAATAACTACTGGTATTTTGTGTTGGAAAAACATTTCATTAAAGTGATGATCATCATAATTTTTTACAGTACCACATTTAATATTACTTGTTAAACAACATTCAACACAAATATCATTCTTTTTCAATAAATCTAAATTTTCATCCTTGATAAACGTGCCATGACCCATTCTATCCATACCAAATTCAATCATTTCCCTTGTCTCATCTTCAATACCATCAATTTCAGCACAATGCAATGCAAGTCTTAACCCTAAAAGTTTAGCTTTAATAAGTAAAGGCTTATAATCTTTGAAGCAACCAGCTGATGGATCCCCGCTAATATCTAATCCAACAATTGTATTTGGAAATTTTCCAATTAACTGCGAAATTACTTCTAAAGTTTCTTCGGCATCTAATATACCTCTAGCTCGATCAAAGCTTGGTAATAGCTTGACTGTAATTTCAGGATATGTTGATTGACTTTCTTTAATTGAATCAATAATTGTTTCCAAATACTGCAACTTTGTAAATTCCTTACATCTTTTTGGAGTTGTTCGAATTTCCAAATACACAGTATTATCTAAATGGAATTTCTGAATGACTAAAAGAGTGGCTTTCTTTAAAAGATCTAAATTGGTAATTAATTCGTGTGATATTTTGAATATTTTAAAACACTCGGAAAGGTTCTTAGAAGAAAAATTTCGCAGATCTGCAATCTTCTCTTTATAAAATTCGCATTCTGGGCTTCCCAGGCCAAATTTAGTTTCAGCGAGTTCCTCCAACATATTTGTTGTGAGAGAGCCATTTAAATGTGCATGCAGTTCGATTTTCGGCATACCTCGTACAAATTCCTCCATTTTTACTTATCTATTATTTTGCTAAAGTAGCGATTAGCGAATACAAAACAAATAGAATGCTTATGATTATAGAAACGGTCCGATTTCAAACAAAATACACCAACCAGCCTGATTTTTGTTTATAAATATTATGACAGTTCTTAAACTTTTAGTGTTGACTTTCAGTAATGAACTATTTCAATTGGCAGTTTGTGTTTAAATTTTTTGCTACTGTAAATGTAATCATTTTCAATGTAATCAGCAGTAATCGTTTCGATTACATATTTTGCAGAATTTTAAATATAGCTATACTCAAAAATAATAACAGTAAAGTTCAAAGGCAAAAATTAGTGAATTTGCCTCAAAATGCCCGGTTTCAACATTAGTAATCTATGATCAAATCAATTTGTTATAAGTTTTTCAAAAGAAAGTTTTGAATTTCAGTCTTTGCGACCTTTTTTTAGAACAAACATACATGTATGTACATATATGTTATACATAAGTTTGTTACCCCATGTTTTTTTTTTAAATATTAATAAAATGCTAAATTACAGGAATAAAAAGATTAAAACCGTGTATGAAGGTTGTTTTTTCTTTTAAATTGGAGAGTCGTAAAATTATTGCAATTAAATGATTGTCATTTTGAATCCATTATAATCTTAACCGAGAAACATGTTTTTAGTATATTAAAAAATACAAAGCTGCAGTTAATGGAAACTTGATAAAAAAACACTTAGTTTATTTGAAAATTTCAATTTAAAGTTCTATGCAAATTTTTATTTTCAACAAACGTTACCATATTATTAAAAACATAGCATTTTTATGCTGCATTTTAGGAAAAAAAATTGATAACTATAACTTTATTGCTGAAAATATATGCTAGTTTATTTTATTGGTTATTTCTGGCAACATTTATATGACAAGGTATAAGAAAAGCATGCTCGATTTTTTCGATACCCGATTTATTTTTATTTTACGTCTCCACTACGCATAAAACGCATTTAGGAAAAGTGTACAATGTCAAGAGCTTTTACTAAACTTTTTGGAACTTAATACTTTGTAAATTTGCGTCGTGAGCGCATTATTGAAGTCTTCAATATAAATGCTCTTCAATAAAAAATGCAACCCGAATTATTGAATCCATGGTCGTTTAAAAGTGAATTACACAATTTTTTTTTATTATTGGTTATTTTCATCACAATTTACGTAAGTTTTCTCTTCGTCTTTTCGTCTCATATAGCGTTTCTATTATTTATTTCTTATCATTTATAGAAATGTTTTTAAAATTCTGAACAGGTTAGCCATACGGAATAGATGTCGTAAACAACATATAACAGGTATTTTGATAAAGAGTTAAAAAAAAAACAAATTTTAAGTGTTTTGTTGTTATTTTAATAGTTAATATTTTAATTAAAATCTATTTAACTTAATTTATTTTTATTTCCATAATTTTCAAATTTTTTCTACAAGGTACTTATTCATTAAAAACGCTCTTAATATATTTTACTCCTTTTTACAAAACAATAATTACATACTTATATGTATTAAAAAAAATGAATAATTAATCTCAGCTGGTTTGAAGATATAAAAAAATATTTTAAATATTATAAATTTTTTTCTATCCTGTTCAAATGTTACGTCAGATGTGAGGTAACTATTGTTGAAAATTTTTTATTTTAAAAATTGTATTATTTTGTAAACTGGAAACCTAGAATTAAAAATTTTGCCTATGAATTTTTTTTTAAATTTATATTCTTGAATATTTTCTTTGTTTCATAGATAAAATAGTAATACGTACAGTACTTGCAATATAATTGAAAAAAAGTGCCATTTAATATTGAAAAAAAAAATTTAAAAATGAAATGTCTTATTTTTTAAATATAAAAATTTACAAATTTTAATTCCCTATTTTAAATTTTACTTAACTCAAGATCCAAATTAAAATTAGTAGATCGTTCTGGTACACAATTTAATTGCCATTTGAAATTGAAGAACGTGTTTCAATTATAAATTATCTGCTCTGTATATTAACATACTTACGGTTTCTTTATAGTTTGTATATCATTTTAATAATCAATACATATACATATGTATATTGAATAATTTTTCTTTTATATTGAATAATCTTATTTCTATAAGCTACACATTTATATCTTATAAATTTATAAGTCTATTGCACATTTAATTTTACACATTAAGTGCATTTCTTTATGACCAATAAGTGGGTAACTGAAGCTAATAAACTATATTTTTCTTACAGAGTTTTTATCAAACGCCTCATTTAATAATTTAATTCTAATATAGTTGTTATAAAACTAGTCAGAAATAAGAATGATTTTTGTTTTAAAATTATTATTTCATATCTACCAAAACTCAGAAATAGAAATTAAACAAAATTATAAAGGTGTCAATGTGCAGATTGTTTTATAAATTTCTACTTAAATAGGATTTCAAAACAAAAATATTGATTTGTTTTTCTAAAGATGTGTATAAATATAGTAAATCTAAATATTTTACATTCTTAAATAACTTTTATTTTAAATATATACGCAACTATCTGATAAACTAAAATAAAATAAATAGCCTGCACAAAGCTAAAATCGTAGCAATGCAAACATAGTTTAATAAATAAACATATGATCGGCATTTTATGAGATTAATTTATTCTATTAATGTATAATATGCTTTTTACAAGAAATATTTTTGTTGTTAATTAAACAACAATAAATTCTAACCACATTGTACACATTTGTACAGCAATTAACAACTTTATAACTCTAAAAAGAATTTTACTATTAATTGTTCATATATAAAATATCGAGTATAGTATGAAAAAAAAATGAAAGAGTTACTTAATGGATGATACTTTTTTGTAAAATCCAAAAAAATATAAACCGAAAGTAAAATATAAACTCTAATTACAGCGTCCAATAATTTCGAAGATTTTGTATGTTCTACTCAAAATCTCTACTACACTAAAATCATAAAAAAGTAAACTATATAAAATCTTTAAAAAAGTTAATAGTAAAATTTTCGGAACACGGTAATTTTCGAAAATTCAGTTCTAACTTAGATCTTAATATGAAGCATGTTCGATAAATCAAAACTACAAAAACTTAAATTGTAGTAAGGTCTACCGTTTTTTTGTATAAAAGAAACACGTTCGAAAATTGTAGCAAGTTTTAAAATATTTTAATATTTTAAAGATTTTTTTGTTAAATAGCGCAAAAATATTTTGAGTTTGAAAAAAATCACTTAGAAAAATGTAAAATATTAAAAATTTGAAAAAGTAGAAAAGTTGATCTGTAGTGATGATGTAAAAGATTTTTAAGATTTAAGTTAGAACCCTAAGTACATTTCTAAATCGAAAATCCCCGAATACTAACTACTCTTAATTATTAACCAATATTTTTTGTCAATGATCTCGTTTTTGACGTAAATAAGAAAAGACAAAACAGTGGGAACCTAATTAAATTGAAAAATTATGTAAAAATATTTATATTGTTTAATATACATACATATTAAAATGAAATTGAAGAAGTAAAAATAGAAGATATAATTATACTTTTAATCAAAATAAATTTTTTAATTTCTGTTTACTAAATACATATGTATAACTTTTTTTAATATATATAAACAATTATTTAATTGATTAAAAATCTATGATAAAGAACTAAAATTAAATTTCAGTTTTCTTTTTCGTTACTTTTAAAAACGTATTTACATCTGCGTACGTGTATAATGCATTTATTCCCTTTACTTTAATAACATTAAATACATATATGATACACATCATGCGTTTAACTCAAAATCTATTATAGCATAAATTTGTGCTATATATGTACGCTTAAGTATATTTATACATATATTTAAAGAATAAAGTATAGTAGAGTAAATTTTTAGAATTTCTTTATAATCATGTACATATATTATATTAATTTATTATTATCTACGGACTTAAAGAAACAAAACCATTAAGGTCACAATCAACTGTAAAAACTTTAAAGAAAACAACAAGTAGGTAATTCTTATTACATAAAAATTATGACCCACCTATTAATAAGAGTTGTTGCACATTATACGCGAAATTCCCAACACAGACTAATATTAATAGGTACATTAAATTAATATGAAATGTTGAAAAAACATTTTTTGTAAGTTTTGAGATTTATAAAGCATAGCTCTTTCAGTGACCACGAATACATATTTAATTTATATTTACAAATTACATTACATTTTACAATTTGTCAATTAAGATATTTGTATAAATGTATATAATATAGATGTATAAATTTATACATCTACATAAAATTTTTATTATTTGTAATTTATCAATTCAATTTTTTTTTTCTAATTGGTTAAAATTTATTTTTTAAATAAAATATTGAAAACTTAGCGTACATAAAAAATAATTAAATTTTACATTATTTGCAATATAATTTAACAACTCCTACCATATCATTCTATTAATTTCCTGTTTCGTTTCACAAGTCATATTTATTTATAAAATAAATTAGATAAATTGTTTATTTTAAGTTTACAACATTGTTCTTATAATTTAATTTTTTAAAATTTAACTACTTGTTTTTTTTATGTTGTTTTTTTTTTGTAAATATTTATTTAAAATTACATACTTTCAAAATAGGGATTAAAGCATACATATTTGTTTCAATAATATAACTTTTAAAAGCATTTTTTAAACAAACAGAAACAGTTTTATATGCAATTATCCCACACCTTATAATAAAGTTACTTCTATGTTATCCCTCTTTGTCCACAGTCAATTTAAATTTTTTTCTTTACAATTAAATGAAAGTAAAAGAATAAATACAAAAAATCAAAAATAAATTGTGTATTTATCATTAAAATATGCCTATAATTTATAAGATTTACTTACAATATCATACATATACATATGAATTTATATTTACATATAAATATGTATGTGCAGTAATAATATATACATATATTTATACACATATATTATTATATATACATATATATAATTTATTCTTATATGTAAAAAATAAAAGTGTAGAAAATTTTATAATAATCCTTAATAACAAAAATAACTATTATATGCCTAACTCTTAACCTGTTGATGAAATTATTGATGGATTAGGTGTGGTAGCTAATATTGATGATGATGATATAGGAGATGCCGGCACAGAACCATCATTGATCAAGGATGGTGTTGTGGTTGTTATTGCACTGGTTGGCGATGATATACTTTCAGCTGGGCTCGTTGGGATTGGAGACTGTTGTTGAGATGGCTGGGAGTTGGATGAACCAGATTGTTGATTTGCTGTTGCAGCAGCTGTTGAAGCTTTTTCACGCTCACGATCTCGAGCGGGTCTAAATGCTTCACGTAAAGCATCCACACGTGCTTCTGTAGGACCCCAACGTGCATAACCAGCATTATTTTGCAACCATATAACAAGAGTACCATGCATACATTTAACATTTACATCAGCTCTACAATATATTTTTAATAGCTTAGAATTTTATATAATACTCTACTTTGATTTTTTTACTTTGGAATAATATGCTGATAACCATGTCGATATTCATGCGCCATTCCAAGTATTATTACTGAACGCCTTCTGTAAATATTATCGTCTAATTTCGCTACACATTTCCATTCAGGAAGGAAGACAATGAAACTAAAAAAATAAAATTAAAATAAACCTTTTATTAAAAAAAATAATGAATTACCTTAATGGTTCTATAGTATCTTTCAATAAACTATCGATATGCATTAAAGCTGCATCAATTAGTTCATCACAATGTGGTGGATTTACTTCAAAAGACCCTGATATTGGTTTAAAATCCAAAAATGGGCTGCAAAAAAATAAAAATGAAGCCAATATAATGCAACTTGTATATATATTCTTACCCTCTTGATCCAAAATAGGCATCTGTGTCTGGGAAAGCTGAACAATATTGCCGAAAATAACAATTAAAGGGAGAAGCAAAACATTCAAAAGTAACACCAAAATGTCGATGCAAACATTCAAAAACTGGAACTGGTAACGAAGCTTGCGTCATTTCAGCTTCTTTCGACGAATTTAATGCATTACCCAAAAATGTTTGATAACGTTTCAACAGGCACCAAACACGACCAATAAATAGGTCAAATTTTTTATCATCAAAACAATTATATCGATATAAATGTTCCAATTTATGTAAATGTGTTAAGTTCATATACAATGCGTCAGGAGTTGTCATCAATGAAGGCGTATATTTAATAACCATGTGATCCCGATCAGGAATGTACTCAACAACAGGCATACGAGGTGATGGCACAGAAAACTGAATTGGATAACACCATACTTTTTTTAATTGAGGGGGTGGGGGCGGTGGGGATGGCTCAGGAATTCCATGATCCTTCAATAATTGCATGTGCCTATCTCTGATTTTTTTCGCGTTGTCAGCCGATAAATGATAAATTTTACTACATAATGTTTCAACTGTTCCTTTAACCGTTTCAATTAGATGTGGCTCACATTGACGTTTCAAATGAGCTAATCTGTCTTGAAAATCTTCATAACTTGCACCAACAGTTCTTCTCAACCATTGGAATGTGTCCTCAACATTCCATTTAACAACTTTTTTACTCTCAGGTGGTGCAGAACGAGATTCTAAAATATTTTTCGCAGCCTGTGCATACCTTGATAATTGTTTGCGAGCATCGCCAGTATATTTCGGTTTAACAATTTTTATTGGAATATCATTCATTATTTCTCGATACATTGATGGTGATACTTCTGGTTGACAATTACTGGGTAAAAGAGGATCGCAGCCCCGATCAATTATTTTTCGCTCCATCAACCATCGATTAAAAGAATCCTTTGGAGCTTTAATGTTTTCTCTACGAACGCATAGATCTTCGTATGTGCGAACGAGTTTCATTGTACAAGCAGCACGCATAGCTTCAATTTCAGGGTGTGGATGTGGTAACAATGTAGGAGGACGTTCAACAATAACAACATTTGTAAAAATCTCTAAATCCCATGGTCCGGTTAAAGCATACATCTTTTTTGCAGCTGGACCGCCTTGATTTGGTCCATGGACTTCTTCTGAAGACCGCCTTTTCATCATACCTGGTGGACCATTTGGATGTTGGCCACCAGGACATATACCTAACGGATCTGTTACTGGATCAAATGGACGATTATGTGCACCTGGCATTTCCCATAGTGATTCTCCAGTGATTTTGTTCCAATAATATGGGCGGTTTTCACGCTTCGACCAAAATTTTCGCCAACCCTGATTAACTAATTCGGTTGTCAATTCTTCACCATATCCAGAATGTCCAGTAAAAGATGTTGATGGGGGTCCTTGTGTTGGGGTATGCGCCGTTGGTATATCAGATGCTGTTGTTTTTGTTGGAGTTATAGCCGAAGATAGAACAGTACTTGTAGATGTCAAAATATTACTATTAGCCGCTGCCGCATCATTTTGATTTTGTGGAGCTGTTAATTGCTCCCAGGCCGATTGTCCAAGTGATGTTGAAGACGACATATTGCAACCCGGCAAGTCCTTAGAAGTACTTGCAATGTCGTTCATATTTTTTTTTATTTTAATATATGTATAAAATATATTTTTTAATCAAAACTTTTCGATTATTCTAATTTGTTGTCTTATACCTGAAATGGGAACAAAAATAGTAATTTTTAATGGCCGATGTACGCAAATTCATTAATACAAAATTCTATTTTTTTATTTTAATTACTTTATCAAATTCTTAAAATTGTTCTTTGTTTCTGTTAAAGTTAATAATTAACCTAATAAACAATAATATAACAAATAGGTAGCGAAAAATTCTTTAAAATCGAGATTAAAATGTGCAACATATTTTTTAGGAAACTGACACATTAGAACATAAAAATATTTTAGGATTTAATATTATTCTAAAATGTATTGCAGTAGTGAATGCATCGAAAGATATTTTAAATGTCGATGCAAACATTCAAAAACTGGAACTGGTAACGAAGCTTGCGACATTTCAGCTTCTTTCGACGAATTTAATGCATTACCCAAAAATATTTGATAACGTTTCAACAGGCACCATATTATAATATGACATTTAAACACATATTAAGTTGCAACGCAACGTAAATTTTGTAATGCAATGTAAAATTTATTATCATCCATGTACCTATATGTGTACATATTCACATACATATGTACAAACATACAAGCATAAGTTTTTATTATTACTTTTCTTTTACATTACGCATAACAGATCATAAGCAAACAGATAAGAGAAAATTATAAAAAACGAACTCTATTTTACAATGTTCTCTTAATTTTTTAACATTTTCTCAGTTCTTCTTAATTTAAGGTGAGAAATATCTGGTTCTCAAAACAGAATTTATATTTCCTTTATTTACATCTCGCATCACGCAGTAGCAGTCAACTACGAAATTTATTTATGCTAATTAAGGTTAAATAAGATCAATAAGAAAATATATTTAAATGTATTTTTCATATTTTTTAACATTTTATTTCTATTTGCAAAATATATTCCTAGGTAGATATGCTATGCATGTTAAAAATATTATTCGGGTTCCCATATCGTTTTTTTATTAAATGGACACTCCTAATGAAAAGAGTATATAATGTAATTTAGGCTCAACGGAAAGTTTTTATAAACAAATACACATAAGTATTCACTAACTAAATTAAGTTTTAAAATATTTAATGAAATTTCAAAATTATTTGATTAACTTTCTCAACGAGAGAAATTTTTTTCAAATCAAAATGACATGAGCACTGGTTCGTTTATTATTATTACTATTATTTTAATTATTCGTTATTCCTTTATTTTTTTTATTATTTTTAACTATTATTTCTATTAAAGCTATGATATTTTCGTATATTTAGTAATTTTTTCTTTTACTTTTTTTTTGGAAAAATTTCATGAAAGCCAAATCGTTGACATACTTTTGTTTGATACATCTTAGACTTAGATAATCTAACTGCTTTTACCTCACCATCTGTTACATATTCTTAAAATTCTTTACATATTATATTAAAGTTATATTTTAAAAGTTTCATTTGATGGTATTGTACATTATTCTATTCCGTTCATAAGGCTATTTTTTATTAATAAGGCTAAATGTTATTTCCTCTTGAAAACTTCAAACTTTCAAGTCTTTGCTGAAATAAATGAAGGACCCCCTTTTTCTTTTTATTATTTTAAAAAATTTTTATAAAAAAGGTGATGAAAAGTAAACATTTACACTTAAAAGTGTACGAATGGCAACCCTAGATATGTACTCGTATCTATATGTATTTAAAATAAAAACATTCAGGCAGCTATAATAACGATGTATATTTGCATATACATATATAACAAAGAAAATCAAACGAAAACTGGTTAACAGATAGTTTGGGATTAGAAAAGAAATTTAGGTAGGTATATGATGTGTCAAAAGCTTAATTAATATCTGTAAGAATAATAATTAACATCTTGTACTTATACTTATATTTTTTTCTTGAAAAATTTAAAAAAGCACACATACATATGTATATGTAGGTTTCAGTTGATTATACAAAATATTTTATATGAAATTTAATTTAAAAGTTATTCCGTGTACATAAGCAACTTAAGCGATTTATAAATATCTGTTACCGATTATAGGTATGCACTTAGTATAAGAAGTCTGCGTACACTTGATGTTCCTATATATTTTGCATTACAGACATATAAACTATATTGTTTAGAAATTTCAATTCTATTTTTTTATGATTTTTATAGCATTTAACATTTCAAAATATAACACTTCATTTTATAAAAAACAAAATCAAAATTTCACATGAAAAACGGGCATTATATACATCATTTTGTATTTAGAAATAAAGAGTGAAATAAATAATTCACAACAAATTTTCAATTTTTCTACCTAAATTCTTAATGCATTTTTAATTAATTCTTATTGATCGCAGATTTACCTACATACACACATATGTATGTACATATATATAATAAAAAGAAATAAACAATTTTGGATGAATGTATGCATAATCTTATTCATTTAAATTCTTAATCGCTGTTCTTAAATCTAAAATTAAACGGGAATTAATTTTAATTATTATTGGATTTAAAAAAAAAAAAATCATTAATTAAATTTAATTAAACAATTTTAATGTTAATTTTTATATGAATTTCATTTTTGACAAATTTGTTTATGTATGTGCGTATGTACAAAATGTATGGAGGTATATTTTACAAAATATGTATTTATGACATGTGCATGAACTTTTTCTTAACATTAATATTATCTGCTGTTAAGTGCATCTATACATAATTCCAGAAAATTGTTACCATAAAAATACTACATGAATACTCGTAAAACGTTTATTGCACATGCATACTGTAAGTTTTTTTTGTATATAAATACATATATACATTGTTGTATTGAGTATGCAAGTAGGTATATTCAAAATATCATAAATCATATATTTTGTATATATTATCCATTTAAAAATAATAAAGTGTCAAAAGAATTTAATTATGTATGTATGTAAAGCTTTTTATCGAACAAAAGAAACAAAACAAATTAAAAAAAAAAAATATTATTATTGTTGTCTGTAAAATAAAAAAATAGTAATCGAATAATGTAATTTTATAAGTATAGCGTATAAGCACATAAACTTGAAAATAAAAAAGTAAAATAAATGGAAAATATTTCAATAATAAAATTATTCAATTTTCATTATTCCATTATACTTAAATGAACATACTTAATTTCTTTAATTTAAACATACATACATATGTATTTATGTATAAAAAGTTATGTATATAACGCTTATGTATATTGTGTATATATTTTATTATAACGTGTGTATGTTGGTATGTATATAACTGTATGTATAATTACGAGAGTAATATGAAATACCTATGTTCATATGTAATAAGTATGTACATACAATAATACAGTAAAAATTATTCATAAGTTCATCAATTCTTACAGATTGCTTCATTCTTTCTTCTCAATTGTCATCTTTCTTCTTCTTTTTATAGATTTTTTTTTTTTTTTATTTTACGAAAATAACAAAAAATCCGTCAAAATATATTTTATAAAAATTAATTCATTGAAAAAAAAAAAAATACAAAATAAAAAACAACAATACCATAAGAATTACCCAACAACGTGCTCTATGTCTACTACACTCTATTATTTTTTTATTTTATTGTTGTTTTCATAAATGTTATCTTTAGTTCTCTTTTCTATCAATATCTGTACATACATTCATATGTACACATAATTGTATACAAACACAGTAGTATTATAATAACATTTTATCTATAGATTTTTTATAAAAAAAATTTTCTTTATTTCACTTTTCAATTTTCATATTTTGTTTTCTCCTTAGCTGCCTTCCAAAAAAAAAGAAGCAAAAAAAGAAAACAAATAAAAAAAAAGTAAAAATTTATATTTTATTTTAAATATACATATTATTACATAAATCTACATATAAAAATATCTACACTCATAATATAAAACTACATGAATCTAAAATGTACATTCATACATGTACTCTCCGCAAACATTTAAATAAAAACAAAAAATAAAAGAAAAACTATCAGCACAGCACAATATCAAAAAAATCAACTAACCAGTTCGTCATCATCGTTGTCGTCAGTATGATTTTAAAATTGTGCAAAAATACACATAATATTTTAATAGTTCCGACGCGTTTAATCTATTTCCAAAAGCCCATAATACTGTTAAATAGCGTTAAATGTTAACAAAAACAAGGAAAAAATAAAATTACAAAAAAAGAAAAAGTTAAACATTATTATTTTTAAAGAAATCATCAATAACAGGTAATAACAGGTAATATTTTTGACTAAAATCAAATTAAAAGAAAACATAAAAAAATAAATAGAAATGTGAACTTGAGAATAAAAACTAAAAAAAAAAATAAATCTAAGAAAATAATTGAAAAAAATAACAAATTAAAGTAGTTTTGTAAGAAATGAAAAACAAACAGCGCACCTCCTACCAACTTTAAAGATTAACCAAAACTTAACCTAACAATAATAAGTATGTAATGTGTATGTGCATAGTTAACACAAAATAGATTAAAAAAATTAATTTTTAATAATCTTTTTATTTTTTTATTTTTTGTGTTTTGAATTAGGAAAACTCATGTAATTATTAATTCTTTTTTTTTTATTTTAAATTTATTGTAGTTTTTTGTTGTCTTTAATTTGTCAAATTTGTTCTCATAATGACAGTGCTAAACAAGAGTTTTGGAATATTCTTATAGTTTTGGAATTATATTAGATAACAAAATTACTACAGTGAAAATAAAAAATAATTTTCATAAAAAAAATTAGTCTTAATAAATTATAAATAATTTCAAAGTTAAATATTGAAATTGAATTAACTACCTACTTGGATTCTGTTCTTATCCACTTTAAATACATACATATGTATATGTAAATGTAAACCAGGACAATTCGAGTGATTATTAAAAAGAGCTAACTAATACCTAAAGTTGAAATCAGAACAAGAACGATTATCCGCGGCAAAATGTCAAAATTCATATGGAATACATACATTTAAATGGGGTAGCCAAGTATCAAGCAAAATTATCGCCTCGAATTAAACTGCCGGCCATAAAAAAAGAACCTAAATACATACTATAATTTTATCGGTGTGAAATTTCGTTTTTCTATGTAATGTAAATTCCAAAAAAAAAATTATATCAAATTTTCAAGAAATATTTACAATACATGTTTATTCAAAATTAAAAATTTTTAAAAGAAAATCATTCAAAATAAATGAAATGCTTCTAACCATTCACAATTTATTATACCTACGAAAATGTATGTGCTATATTTACTCAAAAAATTTTCATAATAACTGTAAAAGAATTTTATTTAATAAATAAATTAACCTCAACAGATTTAACATTTTAATATACACACTCTTGTATACACATACTTATATTGAAATATAATATATATGTATGTATGTAATGTACAAAAAAAATGTTTTCTATTGATAACATTATAAAATTTTACAAAAGCATAACAGCCAAAACCATTTCTGCCGAACCAACAAACTGAAATCAACTATTCGTTAATCGCTTAAAATATCAACCAGTAATGCCATATGATAAAAGTATACAACAGAAAATATAAAATTAAAAAAGAAACAATAAAAAAAAAACACCAATATTAAAAGAAAAACAGAGGGAAAATTTTACAAAAAAAAAAAAATAAGCAACAAAAAAAATTTTTTTTTACACTGAAATAGCACTCAGTAGTTCAGCAGCAGTACGGCTCTACGACGATACGATTTTACGATAGATGTGTATAATTTTCAACGAAAATATAACAACAAAAAAAAAATACAGCATGGTACATATTATAAAATATACAATTTTATAAAATTCCAACAACAAAAATAAAATATTATAACATCAACAGTATGTATATTGTATAGAAAATAAAAGCATGGTATATACAAAATAAAAAAAAAAAGCAAAAACAAAGCAAGACAAAACAGCAGAAACACAAGGGAGACAGGTCGGGTAACATCGACAGTTTTAAATGTACAGAAGAATAACAGAAAAATACAGATATAAAATAAATATACATAATTTAACAAACATACATTTTTATTCACATTAATATATTTTCACAACACTTATAATACGTACATGCACAGATATAGCAACAATAATAATAATAATAACAATAATAATAAGAAGAAAAAAAAAGAGGTTTCTCGTAGAAATAAAATCAAAAGTAAAATCAGAAGTAGTTCGACTATCAAGCTGAACGGTTGAAAATTTTGAAAAAAGGTGGTAGGCAATTAAGAAAATTTTTGAAAATTAAAAAAAAAAAACAAAACGTGGAGTACCCAGTGTAATTGTGTTTTAATAACATTTTCATAATTCTATAATCAAAAAAAAAAAAAAGAAGGAGAACTTAAATAGACAGACAGATTCAGAAAGGGATAGCGCAAACAAGGATAACAAAGATTCTTTTGTAATAATTTTCTCAAATGCATGAAAATGTTGTTTTTCTCTTGGAAATCTCTTTCAGCTTTAACAATTTTTTTTTCTTTTCTTGAAAATAAAGGATCAAAAGCCGGGATATATTTAAATAAATCATTGAAGTCTGTGTAGTTGGACTTAATCAATTATTAAAAATAGTATTTATTTTTTTTAATTCTGATCTTATTTATCAGAAAATAGATTTTGTTCTTTTTTATTTGAAAATAACATGAGTAAAATAAATGACCGAAAGTCATGAGTTTATTATGAATTAATATAGTTCCTTATTCAGAACACATACGAATATAAAACAAATTATATATTTGTTAAAACGATCAATTTATTACGAATAAAAAAGATGAATAAGGACTGACATAGAAAAATAATGGAAAACCTTTGTTTTCAAACAATAACAATAATGAAATACAAACAAGGAAAACAAAAAGAATATTGAAAAAAAAAGATCCTTTCGGTTCAATAACATTTCAAGATGGTTAACATTATTTTATCCCTCTTTCCTTTTCCATAATTCATCACACATTCATTATCCCCTCAGAAATATTAGGATATCTATTAGGACATAATAAGCCGGTTGTTATTTTGGTTGGCAGAATGGTTGTTACCTTTAAGAAAAACGAAAGACAAGACAAAAAAAAAAAACTAAAAAAAAATTTATTTCTTCTGATTTTATTTTTCTTTTTCTCTTCTAAAGTATACAAAGACATTTTTATTTTATTTAATTTTATATTTTTTTTTATTATAAAAAAAATTTATTTTAAAATTTTATAAATTAATATAATAAAATAGATTTTGTGTAATATAGATTTTATTTAAATAAAGAAAAACGATTTCGCAAAAATATTAAAAAAAAAATTTATTTACAGAATAAAATTCAAGGACAGGAACATGAAATAAATGATATCGATTACGAAATTATTACGTGAGTTTCTTTTTTTTTTTTGTTATAAATTTAATAACACTGATGGAATATTATGAAAAGAAGGAAATACAAAAAGTAAATTTATAATATTTTTTTTAATAAAATATATTGTACCTATAATTTTTTATATCCATATGTACATATGTACATACATATGTATATTCTCGCAATATATGTAATACATATGTTTTTATATTATTGCGGTATATGCATGAAAATATATTTGTATAAATTTAAAGAAAAAAAAAGATACTAGCCAAATTTTTCATTTTTCAACTTGACGATTAATATGAACAATAACTGCCGAAATTCTCAAAATATTGAAGGATTGTTGTGCAAAAAAAAAATTGCCGTGCGATATTTTGTTGATTTTGACAATAATTTGAATAATTTTATTTATTTCCCTCTAAAACTTAAACTATTAATAACGAACACAACAAACAATGACGTTTTGCAAATTAATTATATCTATTAAAAATTCAAACCGGTAGCCAAGTGGTTGCGTATTGAGATTCACAACTCAAAGAGCAAGAGTTCAATTCAAATTTGAGGTGCATGTATTGTTTCACTTTTTTTACAAAGGCCGTTTCCTCTTATATCAAAATCATACAACAGACATTAGCCAAGAGATATGTATAATGCGGCAAGATGTATGTGTCGTAAATTTCGATATACGTTTCCAAAACTATTGATTATTATTTCAGTTTTTCAGATAATAATTGCGAAAATAGTTTAATTGCAAATGAGTGTGATTTGCAAAATCAGTTGACAAGCATGATACGTAATCAACATGAACTTTGACATACTGACATACTGGTAAACGGGCAAAATTTTACGTAAAACAAAAGTGAATTTACTTAACATGCTTTTAAATATTTCATTTCTTGACTTATTGTCGAAAATGTAATTTAAAAAGAATGTTAACAAAATTTTACCGGTATTTCAACGTTTTTGACAATAAAATTCCATTTTTATTAAACAGAAACTAATAAAATAATTTCAACCTAAACTAATAAAAATCAAATTATTCTTAAAATATTTTTTTTATTCGTGTAGTAGTTTGCAGTTTTTAGACCGCGTAAAGTAATAAATTCAATAATTTTGTTTTCGTATCTTTACTGTTCATCAAATAATATTAAACATAACGTATTTTACGTAGTATGAGAATTAGGTAAAATTTTTAAAATAAATTTAAGTAATTATTAATAAAATAAATTATAATATCGTATAAAATACTAGGTAAAGTAAAATTTTAAATTGTTTAATATTTAAGTAATTATTTCAATAAATTAAATTATTTAATAATTTATGTGTCTTTTATTTTAAATTATTTCATCTATGCAAAGTAATTTAATTCCAGAACAACTCCTCCATTTAGAATAAGTTAACAATACGGAAGTAAGTTAGATGATGACTGATCAAAATTTTTTTAAAAAAAAAAAAGCCCAATTATTTGAAATAATTTTTAAAAAAACCAAATCTGCGAAGTCAACATAAGAAGTGAATTTTATTAAAATTATGTAGTCTTTATTTTTATTGCGAATATTTCTAATGAACAACGAAGGTAAATTACCAAATAATAATTGTATTTATGATGCCTGATTAAAATTATGCTTAATAGTGCTTAAATACCTAAATTTTTAATATTTTAGTGAAATAAGCCGTGAGAATTTTAAAATTTCAAACAAATATAAATATTCAAACATTTCACTAACGTCACTAATATTCATTTGAACAAATTTTTTTGACTTTTTTTATTACGTTAACGAGTGAAATCAAAATAACTATGTGTATTGCGTTATTAATTTCTATTTAAATGACTGCATTACATAATATGCATGATTGGCACAACATATTTAATTTTGGATTTCACCCAATGTAAAGCAATGTTTTTCTTTTCTTTTATCAAATTCTCTTAAATTTGATTAAATTGTGTTTTAAAGTAATTAATAGTTTAAAAAAGGTATATATAAATAATTTTCTTACAATAATTAACACCACATTACTGTAGATCTAAAGATTCTACAATTTTAACTAAATGCGTCATGTAATTTTTCTTAAAATCGGGAAGGCTACAATAAGCATTCTAAAATAAAAAACAAAACATAAAAATATGAGTAATTCCACAAATTTCAAAATTGATTTAAATGTAATTTTAATCTACATGTTTTGATTATTCACAAAGAAAATTTAAGTGAGCATTTTCCAAAGAAGTGATTCATTTAAAAATGATTCGACTAGAAAGAAATTCGATTATACGAGTATGTACGTTAAAATCAAAATGTGTTTAACCACTTTAAAACTTTTTAACTGTGTATTTTATGCAAATAAATAAACTGTAATCCACTACTCTGAATAATAACAATACACGTTAACTCTGAATAATTATTTCATGTGTGTAGTAATACCACTGCAAGTTCTGTTTTATATACTCTACTACTATTTATTGTATGAGGAAAAAACATTTAACAAATTAATAAAAAGCCATTGTTATGTAGGTACCTACATATTTAATTAAAAAAAAAAGAAAAACAAAAAACTTATATCATATTTAAAAATTATTTTTAAACTAAAAATGTAAAAGGCTTAATATTACGTGTAAAAATTAACTTTAGTCAGACTTTTAAAACAAAAAAATAAGAAAAGTTAAATATAAAAAGTTGAAATGGTATTATGAAAACAAGGTCAATGCTATAATTTAGGTTAATGTGGCCAAACCACGAAACAACCTGCAATTGCACTTCTTAACAATGTGTTTGTTGGTTTTGTTAGTAAGTATGTTTTCTTTATACATATTTTGTAATTTTATTCATTTTTTTGTTGCCTTAATTTTTTATTTCTTCTTTTGTAGTCTCTTTGGCATATTTTTTTTTCATTATGTATTGTTAGTTACTTTCGCTTTTATCTCTACTTTTGCTATTATTAAGAGTTTGCTCTACTTTTAAAAGATATTTAAAGGAAAAAAAAGTGTTAAAATATGTAGGTATTTTATTTTTGAAGAGCCTTCTTTTATCTTCTTTAAGTATTAATAAATAATTTTTTAATATACATATTGTATATAGATTTTTTACAATATGTTATTTGTACATATTTAAAAATTGGTTCTCAAACTTCAATTTCTCAAATTAGAACAACTAAACTAATAACAAATTAATTTCAAACGATCCGATCATTCCTCAAAATTTTACTTGTAGACTTTTTTAACCATACTATTTTTAGAGAACATCGCTGCATTTTCTTTTACTGCATAAATTTGCTGTACTTTAATATTTTACACTATACTGCTTATTTTATTCTCAATATCTTCGATTTATAGAATGACAATAATTGTCATTTGTTTGCTATTTCAAAGAACCAAACTTCAATAAAAAATTTACACTTTAATTGAAAAGTCGATTTGAAAAATTAAATGCTTTTAAAAAAATTGCCCTTGAAATGTTGAATATTTGATTAATTTGTTAAATTTTCGGTATGATTCATTCTACCACAAATCTTTTAACAGAAACGCCTTCTGATTGTTTTCATTCCATTTTACTGGAAATATTCTCCAATACCTTTTTTTTCATTCAATAATAAATTACAAAATATATTAATTACATATTTCACTTGCCAATGCACAATATATTTACAAGTGAATTTTTTATATTTTTTAATTTAAATAAAAAAGTAAATTTTAAAGCGGGGTATAATTTTTTTCCTCTGTTCAAAATGTAAAACTAATTGTCCAAAACAGAAATTTTGTTTATTTTTCAGTAAATATTATTTCTAAGTAAATAAAAATTTTTGTGTATTTTTTTTTTTGTAAATTTTTGCTTAATTTTTGGTTGCTGGACATCGGAAAATAAAGTGACAGACAACCTTTTCACATTTTATTACATTAATATTAATTTCAAATTATTTCTGTTTTTATTCAAATTATTCTTATATTGTTGATAGTCCCTAATTTAATTACTTTAATAATAAATTAACTAAAGAAATTGTTATTTAATTAATTTAATATGTATATAGAAAAAACTAAATTTTATTCTTTAAAAGATTGTTAAACGTTGTCCAGTAAAAACTACATTTTCATTCAGTAAGTATTTATGAATAAGATATTATGAAGAATAAAGTGTTAATTAATATTGCTTTTAACTAAATTATTATAAAAACATTAATAAATTTGTTCATGTTTTTTAATTAAATCCAAAGAATAAAATAAATTTATATATTTTATCAAGTTATTTTAAATAATTAAGTGAGCAATGGTAAAAGAAACATATAAATTACCCAAACATATGTACACTTATACAGAAATAAGGAGTTATCTAGTCACATAAACAACATTTTTGATTATATTTTGATTACATAAATAGAAAAATAAAAGCATATACGCCTTACACATATAGGCAACATATTAAGCGATTTAATTTTAACATGTGCTTATTTTGGAAATGAAAAATCTTGAACATTAACTTATACTTATATTATTTAATTGCGATTTATGTGCAAATCTGGGTAATCAACATTTAAACAAAAATAAATTCCTATGTATATATGTATGTGTTAAACAATTAAGTTACAAGTTTGACTTATTTGTCATTCGATATCATATAAAATTTGAAATAGCTTTTTTAAAAAATATTAACGTTTTAACTTAAATAAAAAGTATTTTCAAATTAATTATTTTTAAAAAAGTCTTTAACTCAATTTCATTGCAATAATGGCCAATTCCATTTAATTTTGAAGAAAAAATTAATGTTATTAAAGTATGTAAGTAGTTGTTTTGGTTTTATGAAAATGAAGTTTAAAAATAAATTAGTATTGTGAAAAAACTATTAATTTCATTTTTAAATTAAAGAGTAGCCTCATCATGAAAATTTGTCATATATTAAATTCATTATCTTTCACTAAATTGTAAATGCGTTCCACAAAATTCAGTTTAGATTTTAGATTCAGTCATTTTAAATTTATACAAATTTATCAGTAAATAAACGATATAAGTATTATATCCATAAATATGAAAAAAATTTACAAAAAAATAGAATGAGATCGTCCTACATTAGTTTCGTTAATTGCGGCTGAAAAAAACAGATTTCTTGCAATGAAATCATTACATACATAAATTAAAATTTTTATTTAAACAATTCTGAGTCTACTGGCCATTAAATATTTTATTAGGTAAGTATAAAAATTAAATTTCTCTAAATTTCATTTTAATTAAATTCAAATCACAGTGGAATTTTAGTAAGTATGCGAGTAATATAAATTTAATAATACAAAACCCAATAATTTTTCATAAGTATGTGAATTTATTTACACATATAAATGAAATATACATATTCATATATGTATGTACATAATATATAAATATTTTCTATACAGTAAAAAGAATTCAATGTAAAAAAGTAAAAAGTATCAGTTAATGCAATTTTTATGAAATATCAGGGTTTGATAAAATTTAAGGAGGCTACAATTGTTTAGCAATATTTTAATTAATAAATCTGTTTCATTAAATTAATAAGATTATAATAAAGTATTTATATTTTTTACGGATTTCTTTTCAATTTTCTTCGCAATGAATTTTTTAATTAATTCGCATACCTACCTACATACATATAACAATTACACAGATTTCAAATATAGAGCTACGATTTCAATTATAGACTTATTAATTCCTAAATAAATTATAAATATATATTTATATATATACAATGTTTCCACAAAACTACCCTACCGACGAGTAAAATACCTCTTAAATTTGGAAAACAAATTAACAAATTTTAAAACAAACCTAAATAAAATTGATAATTCCAAAACAATTCAAAAATATCTTTTGTGCAATAGATATAACACTTAAAGAATATTTAAACTTTTCAAAAAATTGCAATAAAAATCAAGTGTAACGATTATATTAGTTTTTAACATATTAAGTATGGATTAACATTTAACCTTCAAGAAATTTTTACATAAGGTATTTGTACTTAAATATCTAAGTAGACTCTTGCGAATCATATTCTTTTTTTTTAATAGAAAATGTGACGAAATTATAGCATAAGTAGCCAAACCAACAATTTTTCAAAATCTTTTTTATAGGTATTGTAAAACTAGCTTTCATAAGTTAAATTACAATTAATAATTCACACATTTTCTTTATGATTTTTAAAATGTAGAATCACAATATTCATTGGAACTATAAGTAGCTTAAATTATAACAGTTTATTTTGCGCTATAAAAAAACATTTTGAAAATTTGTTGGTTTACTCTTATCCCTCCACATTTAATTTTTAAATTTTAAAAATTCGAAACATCTATCATTTTTTGTTTGAGCATCTGATATTAAATTACTCTGACAATGAATTATTAACTATAAAGGAAAATCAATATTCATTTCGAAATTCGAATTCATGAATTAATTAATGTAGATTACCTATTAATTAATTCAATTTATTCAAATTTCAAATAATCAATTAAATTTGAAATTGAAAAATGCTCCTTTTTTATCGTATTTATTACTGGATAGATATTTTCTATATTTTATATTTATAGTAAGAGATTAAATACAAAAACTTTCAAAATATCTCTTTTTAATTTTAATACAGAACCCTATCATAATTATTATAATGCTTTAATATTGCAAATTAAAATTAAAAAATTAAATTTTTTTTTTAAATTTTACAATTTTCTTTACATTTCAAAATTAATTCTCTTTCATTTACATTATATTGTACCTCCGCTCATCTGGTAGTTATTTTTATTTTCTGTGATTCATATTTACATTCATAAAATAAACACTACGCTTTATTTGACAGCTCACAAAACAAGTAAAACAAAAGTTTGTTGTGACTTTCAAAGCTTTTCAATTTCAATACTATTAAAAGAAAGAAAAATACGCCACATATTTACATACATATGTACATATGTTTATGTATAAAATAACACTTAAGTTAAAAATTTTGTTGTGTATGCGTAATTGTTCAATCATTTTCTCCTTTAAATTTTGCCAGCAGATACTAAAAACTCAAAAATATTTTAGATGCTTTCAAATTGTTAAATGAAAATAAAGAAAATTTTAATATTTAAATATTTAAATTTAACAAAAGGAACTTAAAATTATAATTAAAAAAAAATATCTTCTTACGCCTAATTTAAAAAATTTTTCGTAAGCGATATATGTACATACATACAAATGTATTATTATACAAGCATTTTTAGTTCACTTTTTATGTACTATTAAAAAAAAAAAAAAAAGGGCGGTAAAAAAAATCTTCAGAAGAGCCCTAATTCTAATAAAATTATTTCACTTTTTTATTTTTATTTAATTAGAAATATTTCATTTCCATAGAATAAACATAAAATATTTAAATTTTAAAAATTATACTATAAAAATGAAACTGCATAATAAACACTCTTGTTTTTCAGATTTCTTTTTAATAGTTTATTGTTTTATAAAATTTTACAATTTCCACATTTAACTCACCAATTATTGAATATATTATTACATTCAACTAACACGTAAACTTTAATTTACAATTTTTTATTGAAATTATCAATAAAAACATTGGTTGAAGGCGTGTAAAATAATTTTTTACGAAAAAATTCAATCAATCCTACCGATTAAAACGCCATTTGCAATTTGGATTTATTATTTTTTCTATTCAAATATACTTATCTTCTTTTTACCTTTAAATTTTATTTTTTGTTCTAACTATCTCTTTCTATTGTGGCAGTCAAAAACAATGCTGCCATAATAAAAATCTAACTTAAGTAGTTTTGGTAATACAATTCACAATAATTTTTCAGCCCAAAACATAAAATAAATTAATATATGTGCGAGAAATTCATATGAACAAGTTACTTGAAATACTAGAATAAAAACGTGTTCAGTAATTAATAGTCACGCGAATTACTAGATGCAACTTTCAATGAAATAAATTTCAAAATCCTAAATACGCGTGTATGTATTTTCAGATTATATTGTAACAGCATCTAAACGATGTAATTTTCATGTTGTTGCTATATCGGCTATTAGTAATCATTTCTACAATTCAAATTTTTGATTTAAGTTATTTATATACTAATCGGGTTAAAATGGAAGAAAAAGTTTCCGATTCGGTAAAGTCCAATATCACAAAATTGCATTCCTTTAAATTTTTCTGTTAATATGCTGTTGTATACTTCTTCACTTAAAATTTTTTTACTATTTTTTTATTAAGCTCAATCCAAAAATCTGATGAAATGAGATTAGAGTATTTTCTATTTTTTACCGTCACACAAACTCTGATGTCAAACAAGGTTTACAGGGTTTTTATTAATGTATAGTTTTATCCGACTCAGATTAAATTGCAGATTTTAACGTATATGTAAAGTGTAATGAACATGTCAAAACACGAAGGCGTAAGTTTTGACATATTATATTTAGTTTTATCATTAATCAATTAAAACTTCAATTTAAAACTTCACAACAAATGACAATTCAGAACTTAACGAACTTATCTATTCTTCTTACGCGTTAAAGCTAGATTCATTGGTTTGTCGTTTTTGAACTGAGCCATTTAAAGACAAACTATTTTTGCTTTTGTTTGTTCATTGGTCAGCTGATCGCTTTTTTTTTTGTAATGCATTTATTACTTCTTTGACAAGAATTATATGTAATTGTAATAGTTCAGTATATATAAATTTGACGTTTTAAAAAAACCTTCGCATTAAAATTGAAGTTGAATCAACTTTTTGAGAGAGAGAAAAAAAAGGCTGTACTAAAAATAAAAAGAATGTCAAAAATCCAAGTTTTCATGAAAAATACATCAGCTCGTCGTTTAACTGACAAACCAATGAATCCAGCTTAACCCTGGTTAAACACATTCACTTCTTTATGTTGGCATTTTTTATGTTTGGCTTAATATGTTCATTTAGCTTATCTTTAGATTTAGATTTTTTATATCACCTGTTTGAAAACGTATTAGCTTTTTATGTACAATTTTTTTGTAATTTTTTTTATTGTTGTTGAATGCTACAAAACTATATTCACGAACGTAATGAAAAATTAGCTGATGAGCTAAGAATTCTAATATAATTAAATTATTTTATATTTGTTTCGTAGAAGTACTTTTATTAATCCAAGATACGTCCATACATATATATGCATTCCTACTATATACTTGGCTTAAATAAAAGATGAAGAAGCTGTTGCCCATATTTCTTCTCTAGCACATAACAACGGCAGCTCGTTCAACGTCAATTGTCACATATGAAAAAAATGTTGTAAGGTGAAAAGTATAAAAAATAAGGAACATAAGTTCTAAGTGAACAGAAAATAAATTGAAATAAAAATAGCTTTTATTTGCTTATTTACAAAATAAAATTTCAATATACAAAACTTATTTTAAAATATTCACAGAAGAATCCGTGGGATTTTTAATAGGAAATACCTTAGCCATCATAAAATATTTCATTTTAATATCTCGAGTGTAAATGGTTGATACAGCAATTTCATTCTGAATTTTTTTTGTAAAAAAAAAATTAAAATTAACGGTAGATTTTCAACAAATTGAGTTTTTCAAAAATAAAAATAAAAATTTTTCAGATTATCATACAATGAATTCGAACTGTTGGAATCAATCCCAGCAACCTAACCAGTTCTTACCATTTTTGGTTACACAAAGCCAAATTCACGGCATATACACTGCAAATGGTTCTAGTTCCCAAATTGCTACATCTACATCTCAACCACATAGTTATCACTCTCAAAATGAAGGACAAAATTTTCCTTCTGAACAAGTTATTCAAAACAGTCACGAGGGTCCGGAAATTCTTCCAGGTCCATCTGGATTAAATTTATCCCAAAATTCGGATGTGGAAACTTTGGTTATACCTTACGAAGATTACCAAAATAATAAAGAGTATATTTACAGAATTAAGCATAATCGCTCCATTATGAAGAGTCTTAAGGTTGCTGCGACGGAAGATGATGACGGAGATGATATAGGGAAAAAGCAGATGGGGCCAACTTGTAGAAGTGCATATTGTGTTGAATCAGATTTTCGTTTCTGTTCCACTTTTACTGAAGATACAAGAAGAAAAATTTTTGAAGAATTTTGGCAAATATTAAATTGGGATCAGAGACATATTTTTGTTGCCACTCATGTTTTTAAAAAACCTAAAAATCCAGATCAAACTTCTGATAACGCAAAAGTAGAAATTGAAAATGATTTCATTTACACACTTCGTAATAGTAATGGAAACGATGAACAGGTCTGCGCGGAAATGTTTTTAAATACTTTGGCATTAACATTTGAGCGGGTTTTAGTATGGGTTCAAAAATATTCCATAGGCGGAGATGGAGTTTCTATGTATAAAGAGGAGTTCAAAAAGAAACTTGCTACTATAAAAATATATAATCCTAATGATTATGATGAAAATGGTTTACCAAAACCACGAAGGAAGCGTAAAAAGAAAAAATCAAAAAGAGAAATAGGTTAACATTGAACATTACATCATTGAATCGTTATATTGATTTAGATTTACTTTTAGAAAGTGAGCTTGCTGGGGAAAATTATCGTAGTCGTGAATATGATCCAAATTGCCCAAATAAACCATCTAGAGAAAAAAATACGATCAAACCAGAGTATTGGAAATGTAATATAGTAAAAAGGTTAAGAATGGAGGGTAAAGAATATTATTCAAAAAACTCTAAAACCGGGGAAATGGTATTTCATAAAGGGAAAGATTTAGGACCAAGATGTACTTCTAGTTTATGCAAGATATCAAAACTAAGGAATTGCGACAGTATTTCTGATAAAACAAGAGAAAAGATATTTAACGATATATGGCAAAGATGGGATTGGCAACAACGAAAAGTCTGGGTTGCATCTATGGTTAAAAGAAAACACCCTTCCCGGAAGCGAACTCTTTCAATTAATTCAAAAAGGCACTCAACTCTGCATTATTATTTGCCTGATGATAACGGAATTCCGGTTCAAGTCTGTCGAAAAATGTTTATATCAACAACAGCAATTGGACATCACCAAACTTTAATGTGGACCAATTCTTATAGCTTAGGTATTTTTTCATTCCAATTTACACTTATGTTTCAATTAATAAAAATGTAAAAACGTTGAAATCCGTAAAATGCTGAATGATTTTGGTAAATACCCTAAAACCAAGAATTTACGGAAACCATTCAGTCCGTAAAATGCTGAATGGTTTAAGGTTTTAGTCAAAGAAATTTACGCATTTATTTAATATATTTACAAAATTTATTATAAAAAAATAAATATGAAAAAACTCTATTTTTTCAGGTTCTAATTTTGAAGAAAATTTAATATCAACAAAAGATGCTGATAACCATGCTATTGAATGGATGGATTCCTTACCCAAGTATAGTCTAGGATCAGATACAGGATTAAAATATATTGATCCTCAATTTAAAACTGTTGGTGATTTATACAAAACGTATTTGGAAAGATGTAAAATAGACGGTATAAAACCAACTGAAAAATATCAAATTAAAAGATTTGTAGAACATAATAACATCGGATTTGTTCCACAAAATGATGAAGAATGTGAAAGATGCAGACTTTTTAGTAAAAATAAAGACAGGGATAAATCTGATGAAACTATTAAATATCACCAAGCTCGAGTTGAACATGCAACTGCTGAAAAGTCGAAAGATCAAAAAAAAGCAGAAGCTGGAGTATGCTACGTACTTCAAATTCATTTACAACCTATTAAAACCGTTCCAATTTTACGAAATGAAAGTCAAGTTTTTAAAAGCAAGTTAGAATGTAATAATTTGTCAATTTACGATGTCAAAGCGAATTATGCCACTTGTTATTTTTTTTCGGAAGATCAATGTTCTAATTTAGCAAAGAATTTTAAAAACATAATTACTACAATTATTTGTGAACATCTTAAAGAATATTACTTGACGGCAAAGAAAAAATTGCCAATTATTTTGTATTGCAATGGAACAAGCGATAGAACTAGAAATCTTTTCCTTAGTAATGCTTTACTAAATTTAGCTACGATTCATAACGTAAAAATAACACAAAAGTTTTTCGAAACTGGACATAGTTTAGTTGAGGACTGCTACAAAACAAATCAAATGTTGGAAAGATTTTTAAATTCAAAAAACAAAGAAATATATTTACCGAGTCAATTGGCTAAAACAGTTAGGGAAATCAAACGTTATCCGGAAATATTCACTGGAATTCACTTAGACTTCGATTATTTTCGAAATTATTCTAATTCAGAACATTTACGTTATTTGTCAACGCATCCTGGTGATGGATTTGAAGAAAATGATGCTTGTGAAATGCAATATAATCCAACAGGAAAAATATCATTAAAACTTGATTTTGGGGGTGAAAGTATGGATTTGTTACAAAAAACTATAAAGAATTTTAAACCAATTCATGAATACCCCGTTTTATATACAGAAATGGCATCTATTTCAAAAACAAAATGGGACGATTTGCAGGACATGAAAAAATTTATGCCATTTGATTGCCAACCATTTTATGACTCATTAAAATATTTTGACGATTAAAGTTTCAAATATAAAACTTAACTTGTATAACAATAGTTTTCAGTAAAATACATAAATAGTAAATTAAGAGAATATGTAAAAAAGTAGCTGAAGACGGTTCAACAAAAATAAATTGAAAATGTTTGCAAATAATTACATAACATTAATGATGATGTAAACATAAAACATTTCATTCCAGTCATTAATATTTCCAACATAAGATGTTGCTTATTAAAAATATACAAAGTATGTATTCAACGAAAAATCAAACTATCAAAATTACTTATATGAGAAGTGCGCATACTAAATATTATGTAATTTTATTAATTTCAAATAAAAATTTATACAGAAATAATTATGTACATATATTTGATGTAGATTTATTTAGTTTGAACTAGTTTAAGAAAGAATGTAGAAGTAAATTTTTTCTCACGCGGGCTATTCCTTTTTTTAATTTATCCCTCCACTCTGGAGTTTGGTTGTCATTGATCTTATGATTATGTAAGTCAATATTTAGACACATTTTCATTGAATATTAATTGCCTTTTATAAAAGCATATGTCTAAATTTAAATTTATATTGCGTTAGAAAGAAATATGTGATGAATACCTGTTAAAGATTATCAATAGAATTTTAAACTAGAATTATCAGCACATAGAATTCGTTGTAGAATATAGAGTGTCGATATAAAACTATGAAAATGCGAACTCGAATTTTTTATTACTTTATTAATAAAAATATAAAATATTTTACAATTTAATTTTCATTTCTAATCAAAAATTGTTTAACAGTAAAATATAAGAGAAAGAATATAAAATGTACACAACAATATGATGAAATTAATAATTCATATAAATGTGGCAATTTGTCTGGTACTGGTCCGAAAATATGTAAAATTGTTAAAGTTACACAGCCCAATAATGATAAAATTCTTAAGTTTTTCAGAATTCTCTCTGACTTCCTTTTATTGTTGTCGACGTTTAAAATTCGGAATAATGATTCGAATAAAATATTCAAACCCAAAAATGCAATTAGAAGATTATCTTTTACAATTAAGGGTATCATACTAAATGTAGCTGTTTGAAGAAACCAAAAAACGATTTGAGGTTCTTTATTTATCAAAATAATTGCTGGTATTACGGCTAATAGAATAGATTTCTCGTGAACGTGATATGAAAATAAAAAGAAACCCAATGATGAATTTAAAACTGCATACGTGAATCCTTGTTTTGAAGGATAAAAAAATAATGTTAGCATACTTGGTAAAATAGAAATAGCAGTTGCCCCAAGGCATGCATATAAATTTTGTTCTACATTATACATTTCTCGAACTTTTACAAATATATTCAATACGCACCAAAAATTTGACACTTTATCTTCAAATATACCACGATTAAACGGAAATAATCTTGTTAAAACTGACATAAGGCGATCATTTGAATATAACCATGGAATCCAACATAATGCAAACGTTAGTATTACACTGTTGGCAAGTTTAATAAAGTACATAAAGCGAAAAGGAATCCAAGAATTTTGAAAAGCAAAACATTTTCGAAAAAGATAATAAAAGAACGGCAAAGAATGATATAACTCCATTTGTTTATAGTTTAAAGCCAAGCAAAATAATACAGATGCTAATAAATCTTTGTCCTTTAATATTGAAACAATTGCAGCTATAGCTAATCCCAAAGAGATATTGTTATATTGAAAGTGTCCATAATCAATTAATAATAATCCCGGGTAGTATAGAAGTGATACTAATCCTAAGAAATCACTCTTTGGAGATTCTTTAAATGATTTTATTAAAAGAACAGCTGCAGGAAAAAATATTAGTAAATCAGTAATTAACACTGATGTTCTCATAAAAAGTTTGTGTTCATCTGAATAAAATCCTCTAGATTCATTTAGCTCCACATAAGCTGGATTAAATTTCTGAGCAACTTTTCCCAATATGTAACTATGATAAGCTGTTAAAGGTGGATAATCTAAGCCCCAATACAATAAATCATTTTTTGTTGTATTAACATACCACTCTTCTATAGGTGTATTTATAGTTATTTCTTGCCAATGTCTTTGAGCTTCATAGTCCCCAAACATGGGGGGATTTTTATATCCCGAAAAGTCATATAAAGAAGTAGTAGCTCTTAAAGCAATTCCAAGCAAAATTATGGTGATTATAGTACTTGACGAAGAGTGTTTTAAATCTGAGCTGGTATCTGAACTAATGGAGGCAGATCTTACTGATCGTGTTTTTTTCATGATGACGTTGAAGCTTTTGTATTTTTGAAGCTAATGAGACATAGGCTAAAATTAAAATAAAAATAATAGATATGAAAATGAAAATTACAGCAAAAAATTAGAAAAGAATGTAAATTTACCGGAATTCTTTTAATTATAATATTATATACATGTATTTTTAACTGATATCACTTATCAGGCAAAATTTTGTTTATAAAATAAATAGCTTAAAAACATACGGGATGCGGCGTAGTCAATATCGTAAAACATTGGTTTAAATGACGTTTCTTGTTTCACGTTTAAGCTAGCATCACAAATTAAAACATACAGATTATGCGAAATATGTTTTTTATGCTGTTCAACACGCTACATTTTACACATTTTTAAATTACAAGCATACTGCATTTTTGCTTAACTACGTTATATTATATACATTGAAAACTGGTGTCTTTTTATATCGTCGTATCACTGTGATAAAAAAGTAACATAGCAGTCAAAAATAACTTTATAACTTGAAAAAGGGGGCAAATAGGTAAATGCTCGCACTATTCTTAGGGTTATATTTTTTTATTATATCTTTATATTTTTAAAATTTTTATATTTTTAAAATTTGTTACAATTGCCTGTCACCGCTTTTTTGCATTGTGATAAAAAATTCCATATTTTTCAATTAAAGCTTTCAACATAATCAAAATGCAAGGATGTGCTTTAAAATTAGACAACTACAAAATCTTGACTAATTATACTGAGTGAAACGTAATCGAAATAAAAAGAAGTGCTTCAGAATTTAGCAGTTTCAAACAATAATAACAACTTAGATTTACTAACAAGTCGTATGCTTTGACAAGCAACAGATTTAAAATTAAAAAAAAAAAAAAACAATTTTGAAGAGGTACTTTGAAGTTGTATATTTATTGCGTGCAACCCTATTGGATTACTTTGAAGCGTAAAATTTTTGAAGTTACCATATTTCAAAGTTTATCTTTGTAGCTTCAAACTCACTTCCCACACTTTTGGAATATCAAAATTTTTACTATATACATAAAAATCAGTACTAAATATCACCGGTTAACAGTCAAGCCATAAGACTGTAGGAATAAAGTTTTTTGAGTTATGAGTTTTTTGTCATATATAATAAATAATTTGATATTTTGGTTTTTGAGGTGTCACCACGATTGACCCTGGCAGACATTTGTTTATAAAAATTTAAAGAATTCGAAAGCCGTTTATCTATATCTATTTTAATACATTGTGCTTTGATTGCACCTAGTGACTTTTTTTTGGAAAATCGTAGTTTGTCATTTGCGTCATTTTTGTTCAAGTTTATAAAATCGGGCCGTGGTGAGGAACCGAAGTTTTTTCTATTTTATAATAAAATATAAATAGAAATGCGTTATTTTGTTAATGTTTAATCGGTTTGTTTGATACGAAAAAGATTATTAGAAAAGTAAAACGTAATTCAAATCACCAAAATGGAAGGAGCTACTTTTATGACAAATGTAGATAATTCTGCCGCTTATTTGGAAAAGTTATATTCTAATGACAATTTACAGTGCCAGGAAGCTCTAATAAGCTTAAAAAATTCTGTAATTGGAAGTAATCGACAAAAAGCATCGGTAATATCCCAAGGAATAGTGCCGCGTTTAATAGCACTCATAACAAATGAAGAAGTTCCTCTTTCGATTCGGCTAGATGCAATTATAGTTATCGGTTCCTTGGCAAAAGGAACAGATGAGCATGTTAAAAAACTAATTGAGCATAATGTTGTAAAAATATTACTAACTATAATAGCAACACAAAATATAGATAAAAGGGTCATTGAATTTTGTGTGAGTGTTTTAAAATCAATTTTTCAATTTCCAATTGCACCGGCAGAATTATTGTATTCAAATGTTGGAACATTATCTCATTTGATTAGTTTAGCATCGCCCGATAGTTCCGTGCAAATACAAAAAAGTGTTACGCATATACTAGTGCCCCATTGTCATCCGTTAACCTACAATGAGCAAATGATATTATGTCAAGCTGGAGCGATTCCTTTTTTGGCCCGTATGATGAGTTCCAATTTATCAGCCTTACAAATTCCAGCATTAAAAAGTTTGGCTGCAATGTGTTTTACAAACCGTGCTGTTTCAGATATCGTTTGTGTTACAAGTTTTGAAGGTGTATCACTACCAGATATATTAACATCGTTATTATCGAGGATATTAGATCCCGACATTCAGTTAGGTGCTGCCAGATGTTTAACTTATATACATAGGTCAGGTACACTTCCCCCATCTGATTTAAGAATTGTTTATAAAACTTTGCCTTGTTTGGCAAGGTTATGTACAGACGAGTTTAGTGAAGACGTAAGAGCAACAGCAGCGGAAACTCTTGCTTATTTGGTTGAAGTTGACTCTAATTTACAAAGATTAGCAGCAATCAGTAATCATTTGATTCAATCTCTATCAGCTCTACTTCAAACGAATTCAACTTTGCCGAGACAAGGGGCGTTTCGTTGTTTTGCTTCGTTAGGAGCAAATGATGAAGGTATTCGTAAACAAATTATTGAAACGAAGCGATTAATGGAAAAAGTTTTAGAAGGTTTAGGAGATCCTTGCTCAGAAGTTCGTTTAGCTGCAGTGCGTTGCTTGCACTCTTTATCACGGTCTGTACAGCAACTTAGAACAACGTTTCAAGATCATTCGGTGTGGCGACCTTTAATGACGTTACTTCAAGGCCAACCTTCCAATGAGCTTCTTACTGTTGTAACATCTACGATATGTAATTTATTATTAGAATTCTCACCAGCCAAAGAACCAATGCTTGACTCAGGAGTGGTTGAAATGCTCTGTCGTTTAACAGAGAATACGGATCCAGCGTTACGTTTAAATGGAAGTTGGGCACTCATGAATATGGCTTTTCAAGCAGAACAACATGTTAAAACAAAAATAATTAATTCTTTAGGAACAGATCGTATATTAAAACTTCTAAATGATTCGGATACAAGAGTGATAATGAAAACCCTTGGTTTATTAAGAAATTTATTAAGTAAATCTACTCACATTGACGATATAATGAGAGAACATGCAACAGATGTTATGCAAGCAGTAAATATGGTCTTAGATTCACCACATCCAGCTGAAGTTAAGGAACAAGCGTTATGCATAATTGGTAACATTGCAGCTGGTGCTCATAATCATGATTATGTAATGGAGGATGAAAAAATTTTAAAACGACTTGGAGAGTTTCTAATGCATCGAGACTATAAATTACAAGCTGGTGCACTATTCGCCATTGGTAATTTAGTTCAGAGAAATGACTCCAAAGGACCCGAACGATACGTACGACTTAGAGAGCTGGGCTTAGTCAATAAACTGGAAGAACTAATGGAAGTGACATCAAAAGATACCGAATTGTATCAAGAAATCAACAAGGTGATGAACCAACTGCAATATTCATAAATTAATTTAAATTTTTTTTTAATTTTTTTTTCGTTTTTGCCTTTAAAAACTAATTTATACAAAAAAAAAAAACAATTTTATTTTGTTTAATAGAAACCTTTAAGTAAAAAAAAGAAAATACAAAAATATTGTGTATTAAAGCGCTATTTATAAATTTATCTTGAGATGTTATTAAAAGAATCTTTTCAAGATTTATTCGACTTTAAAACAATGGCTTTCTTTTCCTTTAAAAAAATAACAATTTACATTTAATAAGTAAAAACCATTAAGTAGTTATTAATCCGCATCTTAGTATATTCCTTCCCAATATTTATTTTGAATGTTTGGTAGCATAGGACGATGTTTTATTTTGAAATTTCCTTTTATTAACTGTGTGTTCCATATTTTAGTTAAGCAGTATAATAGTCATTGGCGTATATTGCAGGTTCAACACAAAAGTAATAGCAACTTTGTTGCCAAAAAGTAATATCAAAGAAAGACATAAAGTACTGTTAATACATTTATTCCATTTATTTTAATATTTAGCTAAACAATTAGCGTAATTTGACTTAAGCTACATACACAGACAAATATAACATTGAATTATTTAGATTTTAAATGAAATTTAAAGATCAATTTCAACAGTTCAATTTAAATATTACCTTAAATCTAATAACTTCACCTATTTTTCATTTTGGATACCAGTCCAATTTTATCTTAATTATATATTTTGCTTTTTGTCCTTTTTACTAAGAACATCATTCATTAATTTTTCTACTTAAAATATAAAAAAAAATTTGTTTGAATTTGCATTGTAAAAATTGTAGTAGAAAATGATATTTTATATATAAAATATACACCAATTTATTTCTCTTCAGTTACTTTTATCATATAATAAATAATACGGCATAGATTTTAAAATTATTAGTTTAAAAATAAAATCACTAATTCAATATTCATATGCATATATATATATATGTATGAATAATTTATATCAATAAAGAAATGTATATAAAAAACCATAATAATCATAGAATGAAATAATAGCTACAATATTTAAACATTGTACAACAAATTTAAAATTTCATTTGTTTTTAATAATCTAAACGTAGGTAATATAGCTTACTAATTTGAACTTGCGTATATTCTTCTTTCTCTAATTTAAAATATTTCGATTTTCGAGATTCTCTCGTAATGAGTTAAAAATGTGCAATTGTTGTTCTGGTTTTAATGATAGTATATGTGATAATAATTTAGATGGAGATGCTGTTGCTATAAAGCTAGAAATATACACATTTACAAATGTAGCCATTAAAAATTGACAGTCAAAGCGATCCATTATTCCTCCATGTCCTGGAATCATATCTCCAAAATCTTTAATTTTAAATGCTCGTTTAAATCCAGATGCGAAAAATCCACCAAATGGTCCAATAACTGAGCTAAAAACACTCAAGGATAATGAATGAAAAACAAAAGGATACAGCTTCCAAACATTTCCTAAAATATTGTATTCTTGTTTTGTAAATAAATAACTTGGTTCACACTCCATTGTCATACGTCCAAGTGTTTCTGAATATTCAATTGGACAAACGAAATATTGAAATTGGCACAAGAATATCGATATAAAAACACCAAAAATAATTGTTGCAACTCCACCACCGATAAATCCTTCCCATGTCTTCTTTGGACTTAGTTGAATAAGGGGTGTCTTTCCAAAGAAAAAACCAAACATATAAGCCATAACGTCATTGCAAACTATCATAGATACAGGCACTATAAACCATATCAATCCTTCAAATATGTTTTGTATAATTAAATAACTTTGAGTTACAACAATCAATAAGGAAACGTGAGTCCACGCGAACAAACTGAATTGCTTCATGTAATATTTTTTAACAAGAGAAAGAACAAACCATACAAATCCAATGCAATAGAGACAAAATGATAAAAATCTGTGGTATGTGACTAAAAATTTTAAATAACCAACTCGGTTTATTGCTACGCCAAAATAATCTACTAGACTTTCTCCATAGAAAAAATAATTTGATGTTAAAAGAAAATACCATGACAAACTGCGAAACCATGGTAGCCCATGAATCCTATATACTTGGTATCCAATTGAAATAATTTCTTCAAAACATTTAACTTGAACAATTAAACATGTGATCATCAATGCAAGTGGACCACCATAAATTAATAAACCAAATCCAAATATCATTAGCCATGTAAATATCCCTCTTATGATCCAATTCCTCCACTTATCGGGTAAACCTTTTAAAGTTGTATCTAATATTTTTGGGGTCTTATCTGTTCCCTGTGGAAGATTCTTTGCTAACTCGTTTATATATTTTTCTTCTGGAATTTTATCATCTTCAGAATCAGCTGTAGCAGAGTCACCTTGTTTAGCATCTGCGTCAGAGGCTGAAATATTTCTATCATTTGATGATTTTCTTTGCCGCAACTCTTCGTCAGTCATTTTACTGATTTTAATAGTTTCAAAATTATTTCTCCCTTAAAATTTTACCAAAAAAATATAATTCTTTAATTTCAAATCAAAAATGTAAATTTCAAACTTGTATATTATTGATTTTTTATTAGATTATTATTTTACATTGACATTTTATCGGCAATTCACAATAGTCGATTAACCCTTAAATTTTCTTGTTAAGCAAAGTAGTAAAAAAAATTAGTATTTATCGAGAAAATTCCAAAATCAGTCAGCTTAATTACTTTTTTTTTTATAAAAATTATTACAAATTAAATACGTTATTTTGAAAACAACAGCAATTCATGTAATTTACATGTAATAATTGAGATGGAGATTGTGTAGTTCTAGGTAGTGGCAAATCCTTAATAACTTAATTTTATAGATTTTTATTCATTCTTTTACATATCTGGAACTAAATTGACAAAATATTATTTGGATATTTTGTTCAATACATTCCATAAAAACCATAATTTACTAAGAAATTGAAATTGAAACAAATAAATAAATAAAAATTCACATTTGGTAAAATCAAATTTAGTCATCTATCGTGATTGTTGTTTTTCTTCGATATTTAAGATAAAGCATAAGAAAATTTCATATCATATGGAAACTCTTTACTCAAGGAACAGTTGTCATTATTTTGATAACTGGCTAATTGTAGGTTTTTCAAGCATTGTTTACACGTGAAATAAAATTTGCAGCTTTGAAGTGAATATTTGTTTTTGTATCTACTTAACTTTTAAAAAGTTTATTACTTTTCCTTAAAAGACTTTGCATAATGTCTGCGTGCATAGAAATAATAGAGGATATTGAAGACTTAATATCTTCACAAGATATTACTCCGAAAGAAAGATATAGTAACAAAATGGGTGTTTCAGTTCGACCAAAGAAACGTCAGAAATTGCAAGTTGCGAGTGAGGAACAAAATAAAGAATATGTGATTCCCGAAAAAGTAATTCATAAAAGTGTTATACCGGGAACACAGAAAATTTACGTAAAAACTTGGGGATGTGCTCATAATAACTCTGATTCAGAGTACATGGCTGGACAGCTAGCAGTGTATGGTTATAATTTGACAAATAATAAAAATGAAGCAGATTTGTGGTTATTAAACAGGTATGTAATTGGTTATATAAAAACAGAGTTAAAGTTGGAAATAATGTAAAAAAATTTCAGTTGCACGGTTAAAAATCCATCTGAAGATACATTTCGTAACGATATTAAGAGTGGGTTAAAGGATGGAAAACATGTCGTTGTAGCTGGTTGTGTTCCCCAAGGAGCACCGAAATCAGAATATTTAAAAGGATTATCTGTCGTTGGAGTCCAACAAATCGATCGGGTGGTCGAAGTTGTAGAGGAAACACTAAAAGGTCACACTGTGCGGCTACTTCAGCCAAAAAAGGATACTGGTAAAAGAGTAGCTGGTCCTAAACTAGCTTTACCAAAAGTTAGAAAGAATCCATTAATTGAAATTATACCTATCAATTCTGGCTGCCTAAATCAGTGTACTTATTGTAAGACAAAACATGCACGTGGTGATTTGGTAAGTTATTCTCCGGAGGAAATAGTTGAACGGGCAAAACAAGCATTCGAGGAAGGCTGTTGTGAAATTTGGTTAACTTCCGAAGATACGGGAACTTATGGAAGAGATATTAACAGTTCTCTTCCTGAATTATTATGGAAATTAGTGGAAGTAATTCCTCAATCATGTATGATGCGGGTTGGAATGACAAACCCCCCTTATATATTAGAACATTTGGAAGAAATAGCTAAATGTTTGAAACATCCTCGAGTTTATTCATTTCTCCATGTACCTGTTCAAAGTGGTAGTGATAGTGTTTTAAGTGACATGAAGCGCGAATATTGTAGGAAAGATTTTGAACAAGTTGTTGATTATCTGCGGGACAATGTGCCAGGTACAATCTAAAAAATAATTGTGTACCGATTTCTAATAATATTAATTTTTTTTTGGTTAGGTGTTACTATTGCAACTGATATAATATGCGGTTTTCCGGGCGAAACTGAGGCAGATTTTGAAGAAACAATGACACTGTGTGAAAAATATAAATTTCCCTCCCTTTTTATAAATCAGTTCTTTCCTAGACCGGGAACACCTGCTGCAAGAATGGAAAGAATTCCAGCGAATTTAGTGAAAACACGTACAAAACGCTTAACGGACCTATTTTATACGTATGAGCCATATATCCATAAAGTAGGCGAAAAACAAACAGTACTTGTAACAGAAATTTCTCACGACAAGAATTTTTACGTAGGACATAATAAATTTTATGAACAAGTTTTATTACCAAAACAAAAGAACTTACTTGGCAAATCTGTTCAAGTGCGAATTGTTTCTGCATCGAAATTCAGTATGAATGCAGAATTAATAGATGATGAATCTAAATGGGAAGAATGTAGTAGAAAAACTAACAATGGAACTGTTAACATTTTTGGTCAACTTGGTGATTGCAATAATACAAATGGATGTCAAACAAATGAATGTTATGAAAAAACTATTAGCAATGAAAATGTTGATATTAAAAAAGCCAGATGGTCGTATCTATTGTTTTATGGATTAATCGGCGCTTTTATTGCTTTGGTTTATAGATTTGTTTGGAAAATATTGGCCACAAATAGCTAAATATATTTTGTATAAATTCACCAAACTATAGAAATGCGAAATATGTATTTGTTTTGTATATCATAATTGAAATTAAATATTCGTTTTATTTTAAATTTATAAAGTTTTTTAATTTGGACCTGACCATCTATCTCGCTATTTTATTCAGGAAGTGAGAAGAAAGCGAGTAACTATCATATATTTGTATAATGTAATTTTTGAGGAATTATTCGGACAAAATTTTGTTTTTGAAAGTGAGACTTTCAATTGATTCTTGCATTTTTTCTCGAAATTGAGAAAAACTGCAAAATTCCAATTGAAAAAAATGAGTAATCTTATTGTAAAAATATCCATTAGAAACACAGAGAATTCTGATTTGAATGTGAATAAAAAGTGATTAAAAAAGCGAGATACATTATTGGGCTATAAAAATTTGAATATTAATCCCTCCCAACATAATTTTCCTTTAATTAAAAAAAAATTTTTAACTCCTTGACCTTTTTCTGCTTCATCATAATTAAAATCATTAACTCGCACCAAAAGTTTTAAAGATCTTTTATCAATTTCCTAAAATTCAAAAAAAAAAGTTGGTTAACATAAAAATTCAATGATTATTCCAAAATAAGTATGTACAGAAATGCAAATTGGATAACCTAAATTCAGCCAGAATGATTCTAATTGACTGAGAACAAATACTAAACAGTTTTTTTTTTTTCTTAATTCAAAAAAAAATTATTTGAATGCTTTTTCGAATTATATTTATTGCGATAATATGTGCTTTGTGCAATTTCAAAGATATTCTTCGATACATTTCATTATTATTAAAAGTAATTTTAGAATGTATGTACGTATATGTAAAAAAAAAATTAATAAATCTTAAAAATAGTTACATATTATATATATTCTATATTTTATGTTATTTGAAAATAAAAAAAAAAAGGTATCGGCAACATTTATGGAAGGTTAATTAACAATTTAACTATTTTCGTAATAGTAACAAAGCTATAAATTGTTATTTATAATTTAAGATAATTTTGCCTTTCTGCTTAGGTTTTACTTGAAAAACTATATTATAATTATATAATGTATACAGTAAACAAAATGTACGATATATTAAAAATTATTAGTAAAATTTATAATTAATTTTTTTTTAGGCGAAATTAATTTTCGTATATGTATATAATTAATATTATGGAAGAAATTTATGTTTTCTTTATAGATATTATTAAACTAAGCGTTAATATTTGTTTTAAGTATATTTTAAGTATGTTGTAATTCGAGATTTTTTTTTTTAATTTTTTTTTTTTAAATTGAAATTTCAATTTAATAAAGTTTAGTTTTAAATGTGTAATAATTAATACAATTAATGTTAAAATTATATTTTTTTAAATTTTTTCAACAAATTTAAAATCTAAATGCGATATTTTAAATTTTTAATTTAAAAAAAAGTTTTTTTTTTTTTCGTTTTTAGTTTTAATAAGACTAAGCAAAATTTTTTTTGAGCAATATTTAACATACGTTTTAAAAAATTCTTTTAAAAGAATTGAGTTAATTAGTGTAATAATCTTTGATCAAAAATTTCAAATATATAATACTTAATTTGAATTTGACCTCTAAATTAAAGATCAAAATAATCAAATAAAAAACTTTAATATATATGTACATATTTAAAAGAAAATTAGAAGAGCAAAATACGCTTTTCCACAGTCTTTCGGCATATAGGACACCCATCGATTTGATCGCCGCACATTTGACAAGTTCCGTGGCCGCAAAGAAACACCATATTTTTTATACGATCAAAACATACCGGACACATCGTCTAAAAATGTAAATCAATTAAAATAAATAAATAAACTTAATAAATTTTGACAAATATATTGTTTTTATTTATTTATTGTACCTGTTCTTTAATGTCTTGCAATTGTTGTTTTAATTTTTGGACATCATCCATTTGGAAATTATTAACAGTTGATCCAGCAACGTTATTAGTTCCCGTTGGAGTTCCTGTTACTGTATTATTTGGTGCAACATTGACCCCTGATTTATTAACACTTATAACTGGAGCTTCAGAGTTTCTTTCGTCACTGGTTACCTGTACCTAATTACAAATTCATATTATATGTTTTAATATATTATATAAATTTTATGTTTTAATTTCTATAAAATTTTGTATACCTTTGCTACTGTACCAGTTCCACCACAACACATTGTAAATGGTATCATTTCTTCAATTTGGGTTCGGCACTGTACACATTTTTTCATTATACTAGAACAATTTTCACATGCTACCATATGACCACACGGTTTAAAGAATACAGAGGCTCTGCGATCAGAACATACTAAACATTCATCTATTTTTTCCCTAGATGCAACTGTTTCTCTACATATTAAACATTTTTTTACCCGAGGTGCACAAGTTTCACAACAGCAAACATGTCCGCAAGGCTAAAAATTATAAAAAACCAAAGATTTAGCGGCTTTATTATCAGTTAACATAATATATCATTTACCTTAAAAACAGTATCTCTTTTGGCATCTGAACACACTAAACATTCATCTAATGTATTACCTTTTAAAGGATCAACTTTTGTATCAAGTTTTAATGCAGACATACTTGATGTTAAATTATTATCTAGTACATTTGTTGATGTGTTTTTGGATGTGCTTGGCCCTGCTATATTTTGTGGTATTGAATTTGTAGAAGTTGAATTTATTCCTGGAGCTGTTCCATTAGGTAATATCGAATTTTTGATTGCATTTGATGTACTTGCTTGGGTGTTATTATTGGCTGCTCCAATGTTCATACGTGATGCGCCTGCTACATTACCTGGAAGGTCATTGTCATCTGTTTTACGTTCGTTGTAACATTTTACTAAAGTTTTACAGAGATTAGGATCAGGACACAAATCTAGAGGAGTTTGCAATTTTCGATTTTTAATTGTCAAATCGGCACCATTCGCTGCGAGAAAACATGCTATTGAAGCTGATGCTTTTTTATCTGTCGCATTACGAAGCCCCATTAATAATTTTCCGAAACCTTCAACATCTTGCAATTGTTTTAATTGAGATAACGTGTGATGCCTTAAAGCTTCATGCAAAGGAGTATCACCATCTTTATCTGGAATGTTTAAATTAGCTCCTTCCTGAACTAAAAGTTTTACTATTTGAACGTGCTGCCGCTCGACTGCTAAGTGCAAAGCTGTTTGCAAATTAACATTTTGACGATCCATGTTCGCCTTTCCCATATGGACAAGCAGTTCTGCAATTGCAACATGGTTATTTAATGCTGCTAAGTGCAAAGCGGTATATCCATCATCTTTTTTCTCTTCGACAATCCATGGACGATTTGTTTTAGTCAAAAGGATTTTCATAGCACTTGGATTTCCTAAAATAAGTTATATTGATATTAAATTATGAAAGTTGAATATGTGTGTTAAAAATTAATAAATTTTTTATTTTATCACCTTTAAGAGCAGCATGATGCAAAGCATTAAATCCATTATTATTAGTTAGTGTTATGTCGGCTCCAAAATCAAGTAACAATGATAACATCTCATCGTGTTCTTTCGAAATTGCGTCGTGAAGTGGTGTATCGCCTTCTGAATCTTGTAAACTTGTGTGGCAACCAAGAGAAAGTAATGTTTTTACAACATTTAGATGACCTTTGTTAACTGCAATATGTAAAGCAGTTTGTCTTCTTTTATTTCGGGCATTTAAATCAGCCCCGGCTTTTGACAATATTTCAATCACAGCGGGCTCGTCACCAAATGCGGCATGATGTACTGCTCGGTCTCCATCTTTATCTTCAATTTCTACATCAACTTTATATCGTAACAAAATTTGTATTACTTCGATGTGTCCATTCTGGCTTGCCGCTTGAAGTGCTGTATGACCAGCAAAAACTCCATTTACATCAGCCAATGTGCTGGTAGATGTATTTGGTATAGCCCCAGTTAAATATTCTTCGCAACGAGTCTAGAAAGATAGGACAAAATGCAATTTTACAATTTCGTTTTAACTTTAAAATATCTTATTTTACAGCATAGCCATTCGCAGCTGCTTTAACGAATTCTTCAGTGGCGTCTCCAGAAACGTTGGGCTCGAATAGTTTCTTAAGTATTGCTGACAGACGTTCACCGTTCGAAGCTGCTGGAACACAATTACCATCGGATGTAGCAGATCCCTATGAGTATAGAACATTAAAGAATATTTTTCAAGTTAAATATATTATCCTTACTATTTTTGTTACGGCCAAGGGATTGTACGTCCACGACGTATTTCCAACTTCAACTTTTAAGTCGTTATCATGATAGACTTGTTGAACCCTTCCCACTTTACCTAAAGTCAATTGCATTGCTTCCGCCCACTCTCCATGCCCTCTCTGCAAGACTTTTATACTTTCTAAATCAGAACAAATTTTAACAATGTCCCCAACACAAAATTCTGGGGCAGCAGTTATGGGCGAGGCAACTTTTGTTAATACAGTAGGGTTAAAAGTCCATCGATTTCCACTAGTATATGCAACAACGATATCATGATCCTCATCAATACCGACCACCTTTCCAATATTATTTAAGCACTCAAACATGCCATCAGTCCATCCCCCATGACCATGTTGCAATGATTGAACTATTTCCAACTCCAAATCAACTGTCACTTTATCGCCGATTTGAAAGCCATGAGGTCCTTTACCTGGCCCATTTTCTCCAAGTAAAGGCAAATGATCACGATATACAGTGTTACCTTTTGAATCATTAACAACTTTTAAATCTGCCATTCCCTCAAATCCTACCCGATACAAATTTTTTGCTCCATTATCCCAAACAACGTAAGCCGCAGAACGTGGAGAAGCCGATGACCAATCTTGTATTTCGTTCACCTTTCCGCGTCTCCCGACTCCACCATCTTGATCTTCCCATTGCCAATCAACTCCCCGAACGACTCTAGCTCCAGGGAAAATTCCGCGTACAGCAATTTTTTTAGATTTTCTACGTGGTTCTAACATTATACGTTCTCCGCCAGGCGTCGCTATGCGATAAAAACGATGACGTAAGTGATGTTTATCACCATGATAACACACTGAACAAAGATCGTAATTTATACATTCTGCACATTTCCAACGTATACCGAATATTGGTTGCTGACGACATGTGTCACACATTGTTCCATCATGTTTAATTCCTGTTGGTGCACTATCTAGTATACGTAAGTCATATGCACCAGCACATCTATAATTTGCCGCTGTTCCATTATCCCAAACAACAACCACTTCTTCAGAAGATTCAAAATTTCTGACTGTTCCTACATGGCCTTCTCCACCATCCTAAAATAAGTTTTGTTAATATAATTGAGGTTTCAAAATTATTAAGCTATATTTTGCATTAAAGAATTAGTATTAAATCAGAATCCTATAGGTAGGTAAACATTTATATAAAATTTTGTTTTTTTTTTTTGGTGACTTAATAATTAATTCAAAAAGTTACAGTATAAACATACTGTTTGTTTTTTTAAATATATTTAATTTTAAAAGCAAAATAAAATTTTTGCTAGAGAATACATTTTATAAAATTTAGTAACAATAAAGATTTTGCCATTTCTTCTCTCAAATTTGCATTGTAACCGGGTAAAAATTTGTAATTCATTTAGTCATTTTTGAGTAGGTAATTGTTTTAATTTATCGCATACAAATAATCATTTAACCTTTCAGATAGGTCAATAAAAAATCATTTGGTTTAATTTAAATTTTAAAATTGAATTGTGGTTATATGATAAATGTTAATTATTATTTTATATTACATCTGCAAAAACTTCATTTTAGAAGTTGTCAAAATGTAGGTGTGACACGTCTAGAACCCAATAATTGTTTGAAATTATTATGAGTATTTTTCACTTACCTGTTTTCCCCATTTCCAATCAGGTCCTCTTATAACTCTAGCTCCAACACCTTCCATAGCAAAACGGTGTCTATTTGCAATTTGTGATGTTACCATTGATGGTCCAGTTGGACCTATTGCTCCACCACCAGTAGACATTCCTGTAGGTGCTGCAGTCTCTTTTGCTGCAGCACATGCCATATTTCTTACACAAGAGAACAACGTATTTGAATTTTTTACAGTTTGTTTATTAAATGAAACAATTGTAATATTTTAAATATTTTTTTTTAATTTTTTTACAATATTTTCAAAAAGCTAAATTACATATAAATTTTCACGACCTTTCTTGATGAAAAAAATTTCACTTAATTTAAAAGTCAGTCGTTTGTTATTCAGTCGGCTTTAACTTAAGCGCGTTCAGTCGATTGAAAATTGAACAGGTTGCTTGTCATAGCGCTAGTTCATACCAGTAATGTAACGTTAATACATAATTTATAAATTAATTTACTGTCGTTGACATTTTACGTTCCGTAAAACTTATGTTTACGTTGTATATGGGTTTGAACGCTATTATATGTACATTAATTAGTAGATTTAAAAATCATAAACAATATTTAAAAAAGAAATAAAATGCAATATTCTATTTTTTGCAAGCAAAATCTTACACTGTGCAAAAAAATTTACAATCTCGAAACAACAAAAATAAAAAAATGCACTTAAAATTATTGCAAGAATTTCAACAAAATTGTTTATTAAAAATATTACCATTCGAGTTGAATCACTTTTCAATTTAATGCTTGGATACAAATGTCCAATGTCGTTTATTTTTTCCATAACTTCAAATGTGACATTAAAATGCAATTGCTATATGCAACATGCAATGAGTTTGCAACTTGACGTAATAATAGGCATTTACAGACTTATTTTTACATATTATGTAAAAACAAGTCTGTTACGTATAATTAAGACTTATTACGACTTATCAGGTGAGACATTCAGGTAACACGTAATAATAACGTTAAAAAATTTTTTTATTTTAAATGTATTTTTTTTATATATAAGGAGCTAAGGCCGAAAATTAGTTTATTCGTTTTTGAGCTACAATCTGTAAATAAAAGTAAAATATTTTTCCTGTATATATTTATATTAATACTTATGAATTCGGAACCATGCGACATAGATTCGATTGATTTCACAGACGATTGCTCTTTATTAAACTTTTCAAAACTAGAATTTTTTTTTAAAAAACTCCAAATTTTTAGAAAATATTTATGGTTTTTTTTTTTTTTAATTTCGAACCTAAACTTACAACATTTTCCTTTATCTTTATTGGCAAAACATTGAGAGATAGAGAAAAATATTATATGGGTTAACTTTTACCTCGGTTGTTTTAAAAAAAATCTAAAACTCTGATTTTGATGAGCTTTATCTCGAAAACTACGGCTCAAATCTAATTGATTGAAAGACCGAAAGTAAAGCAGTCAATTACATGTAAAATAATTCCGCAATGGTTACTCTATGTTGCATGGTTCCAAAGTTATGAGCATTTATGTATTTATAGGAAAAATCTAGTACCTTTTTTCAACAGACCGTAGCTCAAAAACGAGCATATTATCCATATTCAGAATGTCGAACCAGAATTTGGCAAATAAAAATTAATATAATCAATCTTATACCAAAAACGAAAGAAAACAAAATATTTATGTGAGCTTAGGAATATTATATTAATTATTTGTTTGCAATTTTAAACAAAACTCTAAACTTATATTTAAATCCGGCTTAAATTTATTGATAAGCTTTAATAGCTTTAACTTCTTGGCTTTAGAATTACTGGACTCAAGCTCATAAAGAGTAGACAAATTTATAAGAAGACTTTCATTCAAAGATTGTTGTGGACTCATATTTATTGAACTTTCGAATATATGTATAGCATCTTTCAATTTACCACAATATAAAAGGCACACCCCCATGTTATTTAATAACTACAAAAAGTGATTTATTAAAAATGTAGTTATCACATTAGTGTTTTATATAATTTACCATAGTGTTTTGATTATCCAAATGAAGAGCTTTTTGAAAGTTCATAAAGGCTTCTTGGAAATCGTTTTGTGCTACAGCGATTAAGCCTTTATCTACTAAATCACGTAAATCTGGAGTCGAGTTCATATCTTTTAAACGTCTGGCTTCAGAAAATTTTTGTTCAGCCCCAAAGACGTCTCCAATTTGTAAATAAATTCGTCCCCACGCCGAAAAGAGTGCTCTTTTATCTTCTTTTGCCATTTCGGTTTGTTCAAATAAAGATTTTATAATATCATCTATTAATCCGAACTCACGCATCTAGATTTCATAAAATAAACTAGGAATGTAATTTTCAAAATGACTATATAATTTTCAAAATATTACCATAACTGCGCAATTTATTATGGAATGTAAAACTCTATTTTCACGTCTCCTCCAAAATTCGTAGTTAATATTTTGTTTGTCATTTTTTCCATAATAATTTTTTATTTCATTACATATGGAAGCTAGTTCCGTTAAATTGTCTATAGCAACTTTTGGAGAACCTGTGTAAATAGGTACTTCTGCCAACAATACCCGAAAAGAAAAACATGCCATTGAGCCTTTTTTTCCATCATACATATCTGGATAATACTATTTAAAAATATATGTGTATAGCCAAATCTTATTTTTTGAATTTTTAAATAGGCATATACCTCAAAAAATATATCTGGCCTGTTCAATGAACCAAATGGCTCAGCTTCCGCTTGCAGTATATCATAACGTCCTAACTTAATAAGAAGAGCTAATCGCGTAAACCACAACTGCAAAGAATGTGGTGTATGTTTAACCGTTTCAGATCCAGGACGCCCATATCCCTGCCTATACATTTTTAGCAACCTTCCAGTTAAATTAATCGCGGACCTGTAGCAATCTGCGGCTATCAATTTCCTTAAACCACGTTCATCTTGGGTAACATCATCGGCCGTTAATATTTTTCTCTCAGAAACATCAATTTCAGATAAATGCTGTTTAGCTGCAAGGTGTATGTGATCGGGCTATTTAATGAATAAATGTGATAAATGAAAATTATTAAAGATAGTCTAATATGAAAAATTATTAACAAATTTGAAAAAATACCAAATCTTCTTGTGAAGGTATTCCGGGGCTGGTCAGGCTGGAATTTTCATTATTCGGAGGCTCCCAACTATTTCGTACATCATCTGTAACTTTTAATTCTTCCTCACTGTTTTCAATATACTCTGTTGCTTGAAACGAGCCGTCGAATGTATCTGATATTATAGATGTCCTATTTTCTATTAAATTATTGAAATTTTTTATAAAAAATGATCATAATACATAAAAATACAAATATTTACGCATTTGAGATATTTCATCGAACAAGCTAGGTGGATCATTAGCAAAATACTGACTTAAACTTGGACCAGTTGATGATGTTATCGGTTGATTTTCCATATTTCTAAATTTCTTATCTGATTAATATTAAGTAATAAAGTTAACAAAACAGTTCATGATTACAATACAATTTATGTACACAATTATATTTTTTTAACATAATATGTAGTCAGCTGTGAATGATTGCGTTTGACATAAGAAAATTCTGGCAGCGTTTTTTAGTGAGAATTTTTTTCGGATAACTTTCTAGGGTTTTTGATTGAAACTTATGTGACCCAGCATTTACACATACAAGTTACTTGCAAGCAAGTTTGTATAATATCAATTGTCAATTAGTTTTTCGAAATGTCAAATTACTTGCTATTATGACGTAGGCGTTTAGCAAGTTAATTTTTGAAAATGTCTTTGAGAAGAAAACAACTAGCAATATATATAATTGTTTATAAATTTTAGAAACCATAAGTTTGCTAAGTTTAATTTTTTCAAAACAAAATTCAAAAATTTTAAATTAAAAAAAAAAAAAAATCAAAACAACAAATTTTTTTTGTGAATTTCTCAATATGTCAAATTACTTGCTCAAATTACTGGCAGCAAAATTTTCTTGCAAGTTGAACTGCAAGTAAACAAGCAAGTAGAAATATTTCAATGTGTTAGTAAAATTTTTGTATGTATTGCAACTTTCTTGCAAGTAACTTGTACGTGTAAATGCTGGGTGAAACAAATATGAAATTCAATCGATAATCAATTTCGCTTCAATTAAATTATTATTAAGCAATTTGGTTTGAATTTGAATTGAAATCTAAAATTAAAAAAATAACTTAGTAACATTTTAATTTCTGAGAATCAGCTGATTGTCACGGAGATTTCAGGAAAAAATCCTTGCTAAAGTTTGATTCAACTTTTATGTAAACGACAACCTTACCTATTGGATTGCAATTTCTTGTTATAATAATATGTCAGTTTTTGTTATAGGGATTAGATAAGCCGTTAATCAAAACAAATGTTAATCTAATATTTCTATTGTTTTTGTTTGTAAAAAATAAAATTGAATAATGAAAACAGAAGGAGAAATGAAAAATAGGTAACGAGGTAAAATAGGTAATAAAAATAGTTTGAATTAAAAAGAATTTAAAATTTTAACTTTTGAAACAAAGTCACAAACGATTTATTTTTGATTTTCAAGATATAAAAGTGTGAAATTTGGAAAAAATTATTTGCGAACGCATGTTTTTTATTTTATTTTATATTGATTTCAATGCTGACGCCATTATTTTTTCAAAAAATAATATACCAGTTGCTTTGCATAATAAAACTTTATAAAGTTTTACATAAGAATGTAAGTAGTTACATATTAGAATATTTGATAAAATTTTTAATATACCGACATACATACATATTTCCAAAAGTTTGGAAAAAATTTGTCTACTAATTTTTGCTTGTGAGTTTACAAAACGTTTGCGTTATTTTACAAGACTTCTACACCGAACATGACCGAAGGATAAAATTTTGTACGCAAAATACATTTCAGTGAAGACAATATTTCTCTGGAATGATTTTTTTCTAGAAGTTATTTTTCTTTAAAAATGTAAAAATGTAAATGTTGACAAATAACACTGTGGTGAAACGAAAAGTAATTTTTAAATTCTAGATCATCAAATTAACCGTTATCTTAAATCGAGTTTTCACCAATTTTCAAAACAATTTTTTTCTTACAAGATAACTTTGATGTACCCCAAATTTTAACAGTTATAAATATAATTAAATATCTAATTTTACTAGCAAAATTTCTTCGTAACTCCTTATTTGTTTTATTTCATGTTTTGAGATGTCATATGAATTCATGAATGAAATGTTTTCCAACAAAAGCTGTTGACCATTTAAACATTGTCCTATCTTTGTATTTAATTTGCTGGTAATTTACAAGTAAACATTGTGATTTATATAAAATATTTAATGAAATTCATTTTAAATAATTTCTAGTTATTAATTATTACTGTATAAGCTGGTCATAATTTTGAACTGAATTTCAAAAGCACCACTATAATCAATATTTTACTTCTTTTTTGTAAATTATTGAGTTTATATTTTGTGCATTGTTTTTATGGTATGATAATGTTTTTTGTTCTCAAAGTTCTGTTAATCCCTGCAATTTCTTCATTTTGAAATATATTTTGCCTAACTATATGACAACAAATGTACATACACGCTCGCTATTCTTAGTTATTTTTATGTTTCCTTCAACCTGAAAATGTTTTACTTTGAATATAGATAGTTGAAAATATACATGATTCTAAAAATAAAATTTTATTGTTTGTTTGAATTAGTTTAAAAGTGAATATGAAATTCTATTTACTTATGGATTTAATTATTACTATGTATGCATATATGTACATACATACTTCATATTTGTTTACTTATCATAATATGTATGTAATTTCACGTAGATAATTTCTACCTGTTAACGTATGTCTACAATCACTAGAAATAAAAACAAGAATATGTAAAGGAGATCCTTTGAGGCATTCTCTATAATGTCCTTGTTGTATATATGTACTTGATGTATGTATGTATACATGAGTGATATATAAGAAATTATATTTTTGTTTTTTTTTTTTTTCATATTTTGTTTATGTTAAAAGACTCTCTTTTGACCATGAAAATTTTTCTTTTATTCAATTTTTGAATTGTGCCCTGATTTTTTTAATGAAAATAAGAGTTATTTAAATACTTGTAGATCTGCGTTTTGAGGAGTTAACAAACAATAATAAAATGTAACAAATTTATACAGACATACATACGAATACCCACAGGCTAATATACACATAATATTTATTTTATATTTTTCTTTATAATGTTCTTTTTCTTGTAGGTAATGAATTAATTGGGATATGTATAGATCTTGTAAAAATACAAAATTGGTATATTGGTAAATGTAAATATTGGAGCATATTTTCACATAAGATTTTTATTTAATATACTTTTGAAATTGTGAAATATAAATAGAAACCTTGAATTTATGTAAAAATATAAAAAAACATTTGAAAATTTTACAATTATTTTCTTCACATGAAGTGAAAATTTTTAAGTGTTAAAACTGTTACGGGGAAAATTAATTAAATTTTGAATTGTAATTGCATAAGCTAAAGTTTTAATGTAATTTATACTTTTACACGCCTTCTAAATTAAAGAATGATGTAAAAACCAATTTTCTGTCAATCTATTATGTCGTATGATCTAATTGTTCTGTCTACATATAAATGAATAAGGAAATTTAAATACTTATGTCTTACACTTATTGATGTTTGCGATACGCACGTCGTTGTTTATCTATACTTTGAATTGTTAATGGTCCCATATAAAATATTTAAATAAATTACCATATGTGTGATGGAAATTAATTTCGTTTTGCCTTAAATTTAATTGAAATTGTTTTTTCCATAAAATACAAGTTTTAATTTCTATGTATTAGCTATAATTGCATTTAGGTTACTCAATGTTAGATATTCGTGCAAATACAGACTGCAATTTAAATGTGACATATTATAGATGAAGATTTTTTGAATTTGAAATTTTAAAAGTTTCTAACATTTGCAATTTTATAATCACAGTAATTTATGCATTTGATTTTATAAAAAAGAATATTATTTGAGTGCATATAGAAAAAATTTTCTCAACAATTTCCAATAATTTGTTGTTTATTTTATATATAAAATGCCGTATCTAAATAATATTGAATTTATTTTTACTTACAACTTCCGAAATTATTTTAAAGTAACAGGTAGTTTAATATTACCACTGTGATTTTTGTTATTTTTTTCCTTTCTTTTTTTTTTGTAAATTAGTGAATTATTTATGAAGAAATGCAAAAAAAAAATTAAAATCTGCACTGGAAAGATACTTTAAATATTTTAATGATTTTCCTTGAAATTTTGACCATGCGCAAATTTGAAAGTTTTTATTGAGAAAATTAAAAAAAAAAATTAAAACAGGATTCCCCTCAATATCTGCAAAAAAAAAAAAACAAAAATGAAATTCTGTAAAAAATTAAGCAAATATTTTTTTTAATAAGGATACCAGAAAAAGCTTTGTCCTTTAAAAATTAATTATTTAAATATTGTTCCTTTAAAAAACCTGCAGGTTAAATAGAATGAGCTTTATTATAATTTTAATGATTAATGTAATATATGTATATATTTATTTTGTATATATGTATATTATGAATTAAAGTAAAATTAAAATATTCATATGAATTTTTAACGGTTAAGATAAATATAAATGTTATGAACAAATATTGAGTTTTATAGAAATTTATACTTTATACACCTGATTACAGGTACATTTTTTAATTTCATGCATAGCTTGAAAATAAGTACAAATGGAATTTAAATAAGAACTTGCTAATAACTTTCATGTTCCTAAAATATTTATTAAAATAATTGCATATTTACGGGAGCGTTAATATTATAATCTATATGTAATAAATTTTTCTATTTAGCTATGAGCAAAAACCACCTATTATTTTGTATAATGTTTTTGCTATGAGCTATCTGTAAAATAATTTGGTCTGATGATCATAATATTAGATTTTTTGAAACCATAAAAAATTTTGAGCGTCAATAATTTTACATTGTTTTTAATTAAAGTATGAAAAAGCTTTTTGCCAGACTAAACATTTCTTAGAGTTTTTAAATTTTAATTTACATAAAATTGTATAAAAATATTTTTAAAATTTTTTATACAATTTTTGAAAACCCTACAAAATTGAACGAAAATAGCGTAAACATTAATACCTGTGGTGTAAAATTATAGGAGCTAGTTTGGAGAAAAACATTTTTTTTTGGTAAAAATATAAATTTTAACTTAAAATTAAATTTTAAAAAGACAAGAGGTATAAGAAATCAAATTTGGAATGAAATTAAGAGCTATGTACCAAATTTGATTTAGACAATTTTTACTTGTACCCATAGATACCAACATTTTATATATAAAAAAATCTCTTCTCTTTAACCAAAAATTTACATGTAAGCCTCAGGTATATTTATTCACAGGCAAGAAATTATATATAATAATTTTTACATACATACATATTTATCTACATACATATGAATTTATATTATGCTTTATTTAAACAGTATGCTAATTCTACTTTTAAATTACGTTTACGTTAAAATGTCCACTTTTTTTTTTAAAAAAAAAAAAGAAGAATGATAATTTTTTTGTTTGAACTTTTTTTTTTTGCTGTGTACCGCTTACAAAGTTGTTTTTTATTTTTTTTTAAATATTGCGTGCAATTTTTTATATTCTGGTTAAAAAAAGGTTGGAAAATTTATTTTTCCTGTTTATTCGTGTACTTTGAGTATCGCGTGTGTAAAAATTATGAATGTAAGCGTGTGTACAGGTACACGATATGATATTTTAAAATTGTTTGTATGTATGATTTTTTTTATACAAAATTCAATAGTTTCCAAATTGATTTAGATAAAATTTTTAATAATATGCCAGGTTTAGCATTTAAACTTACTTGATTATTAATTTTCTTCGAATGTTTTGGCTAGACAAATTCCTAATGAAAAATAATTTTTAATTTTTGAAAAGTTTTAGGAATATAAATATATCGTCGGCAAAACTGTGATACCTCGTAAGTGCAAATATTTCCAAAAGTACTTTATCAATTTTCTGTTTATGAAATCTCAAACAGTCAATCTTTAAAATTTACGAAACAGTAAAAACTAATAAATAATTACATATTCTTTAAATAATTTTCATATTTTCATAAATTTAAAAGATGGATTGTTTGACATTTCCTAAACAGAAAATTGGTAAAGTACTTTTGGAAATATTTGCACTTACGTGGTATCACAGTTTTGCCGACGATATATATTATATATTCCTAATATAGGAATATATACGAGTATATATGTACATTCATATTTTTGGATTTTTATTTTTCTTCTTCTATAAAACTTCTATGTATAGAAGTTTGGTCAATTAATCATCAGTTTTTATTATCAGTTTTAACGATTTGTGATTCTGAAGAATATTTATGTTAAAATAAATAGATATTTAAAATATTAACTTGAATTTTGCTTTTAATTTTTTTTTTAAATTTTGTATTTTCTTAAGATAGTTTTAAGAATTGTTACAACCCCAACCATATTTAATTGGTACAGATATATATTAAAACAATAATCTCATTTTGTTTCTATATAACGGTAAATTCGCGAACGATTTATTGCTTACTATACTACTTTTCTGAAAACTTACTTAATTAGCTTCAAAATACTTGAGTTAAAAAATTAGAAAAAAAAATGAAAGAAAAAAATATATATATATATATGTTATAACAATTTTGTTAACATATATATATATAGTTAAAAATATCAATCAGTTAAAAATATTGACCATTAATATTTGGTACACCACTTGCTCTATTTATAAATTATGACAAAATTCAGTTCCTTTTTTTTGGCCGGATTGATTTAAAATAAAACAAATGTATTTCAAAAACAAAGAGTAATTTAATTGATTTAAGTTAAATTCATATTTATATTAACCCATTTTAGTATTTTAGTCATATTTATGTCATTCTGACGCGTGAATGACCTATTTCGTAAAAATATTAGAAAATTAGTTATTCAAAAGGATATATCTTATCATTGATTTAAATTTAAAGTAGGCTAACAAGCATTTAAGCACAAACAATTCTATGATCTTAATAATTCTGCAAATTTAATTAATCAATAATGGAAATAGCAGATTTTAAATAATTTAAAACGCCAACTTTGTTCCTATAAAATACTCAATAGATAACATCATTTAATTTTAGCAATAAAAAACAATTTTTAATTTTTTTTTGTTCTTTTTAATTTATTTTATAAAATAATTTCAATTGTGATAATTATTAAATTAAATTTATGTATAAAACATTAACACATTTTCTCTTTTTATTAAAAAATTTAAGTTCACGATGATCTTGTTTCTTATTTATTTTAAACATATTATTTTTTATTCTTTCGTACTTAAACAGGATATCACTTAATACATATATATTTATTTATATATATTATATATTATATAAAAATTTAAGCCTTTTTATACAAATTAAAAAGCTACAATAGCTTTTTTATATAAATTTAATTCTTTTAAGCATATTTTATTTTGCTTTGTCTTGTTGTTAATTTTGTGTGTATATGTGTGTGTGTGCGTATTATTATGTGTTTTTAAGAGCTAACTAGAATTTTATAAAAATTTAGAAGTCTTAAAAATTTACATTAAATTTATTACGAGAGATTATAAAATTAAAAATTAAAATTTATGAAGAAATTTTTGATTGATTTATAGATAGTTTAATTCAAATGTCATTGATTTTCAATAAAATCTTATACATGTGATGCCTATAGATATGCAAATTTCTTTAACGAAAATGTTATACATATAAGATTTATTGGAAAACATTTTCAAATGAAAGTCAGATTTATAAAAGAATAGCACTAAGCTACATACATATATAAAGAAATAAAAGATAACAGATTTTAGAGTGCAAAATAAAAAAAAAAAAAAAATTAAACAAATTTCAAAAATAAATCAGACTCTCGGTGGAACTATCTAGTTAAAAAAAATCTTTTCTTATATTTTTATATTATAATTTTTTTTTTCTTTTCAATATCTATTTTTTAACTGAGAATCCATCGCCAGTAGGATCCAAAATCCATGGATAATTATTAGGACATTCCATACATGTGAACAATCTTAATGTTTCACCGGGTAACTCTCTGGTTGTTAATGGGCATGGATTTGGTAATGAACAATATGGTTGACCCTTAACATCACACTTTTCTTTCCATTCTTGGAAATCTCTTAATGAATTTAATTCAGTTGGATTTTGCATCCATTGAATAACTTGTAACATTGTTACAAAGAATACATCATTGCGTGCTGATAACATTTCTTCAATAAATTTAATTAATTCTTCACGATATTCTTTTTTAGATTTTAACCATGATGCATGGAAATTTAAACCTAATGGAGCACGATTGCTATTGTAATGGCGATTGAAATTGTGACGTAAAAGACGACCGAATTGTTCACCAGATTGAATATTAGAACACGAGTCAACCATATGACAACCTGGAAGTGATTCATCAAATGTTGGATCATCACGACGATCTAATTCATTCATAACCATTTCCCAAACTGGATGACTACGTGATGGGCAATTATGTGCATTACCGTTACATTTATGTGGCATACGGAAATATAATGTATATGGCCAAATTGGTACACGACCTAATGAAGCTGTTATTGATGCATCATATACGAAAAATTGATCAGCCATCATTTCAAATTGTTTATTACCACCAACACGTAAATATGGAGCACGCATACCAATAATTGAACCATCAGTAATATTTGCAAAACGTTCAATAATTAAACGAGCACCAGCCATTTCAGCTAACCAATCATCATAACTGCCACCAGACCAATAATTTGGATCTTCTTTATGTGTTAATGAGAAGACAGATATTTCATGACCTCGACGATGTAAATCTTGTACAGCCGAATAATTTGTATATTTGTGTGATACAAAGAATGTACCCTTTATTGAACAACCATTTGGATTTTGACGTTGTCCGTTGAAGATATCTTCATATAGATCAATATTATCAACATTTACAGCTCCATTAAAAGTGATTGTTATCATTTGAGGTACATTTTGTGGTTCAATACCACCTGGAATACGTGTACCGTCAGCAGAACAGAAACAATCTGGTAGAGCACATTGTGTTGGATCACATTCTGGAGCGCGGTTTGGATCATCGTCAACCGCTATAAATTTATATTAGTTATTTGTATTTTCAATATTTAAATTTATAAATGTATTTTTTTTATATACTTACAGCAAGCATTTTCGTCTGATTCATCTTTACAATCTGGTTTTCCATTACAGAATAATTCTTTGTCAATACACTCACCATTACCACATTGAAGTTTACCTTCCGGACAGACTGGTTCATCTGTTTTGAAGTTTGGTAAAGCTTTTCTTGGTTCTGTAGAGCATAAATAAATAATCTGATCAGTAATAGATTTTTAAAATTCCGTTTGATTAAAAAGGCAAAACTTTATTTTAATAATACACATATGAAAATTAAAGAAAAAACCAAAAATAATTAAAGTAATAGTTGAATAAAAATCAGTGCAAAGCATGCAAACAAAAATTTTTGTTATAAATTGTGATACATAATGGTGGTGTGCCAAAGGATGTGAAATTTCTGATGTTTCATTACTTTTTTATATGTAATTTTGATTTTTGTATCAAAATATTAAAATAAGCGAAATTCTATTACAACGCGTGTAGTTTGTTGAGGGAGAAATCGCTCACAATTTTTTAATTATAGAAAGGATAGAAAAAGTTCACAATAAGTTATGGATTTTAATTTTAATTTTGACTTGTTACAATTTTAATTTGAAAAATGATTGCGACAACACGTTAATAATAATTTTAAAATGTTTGATTTTGAATTTGGATAATTGTACAAAAAAATTAATAAATATGCAAACTTATTCGATAAATTTTTATAGTAGTTTCAAAAAAATTGTTAAGATAAAAAATTGTATTTTGAGTAAAGTGAGATAAAGTTTAAATTTAATTTGGAAAAAAGAAGTTTGCAATTTTTTAAATTTTTCATAACTTAGGAAATAAAATTAAATAACTTAGGAAAGATTTAATTATATTTTGGTAGAGTACGAATAAATAATATATGTACATGTTTAAATTATAGAGAAAAATTCAATTGTGAACAAAATTAGGATCTATAAAACATGGATAATTTTTATATTATTATTGTATACTGATAGTTAATAAGTTCAAAGTTATTATTAAAAGTTAATTACTATTAACTATAAAGTTCTATTTATAATCTACATAATTATTAATACATTGAAAAGGGTTATGATTAAAATAATATGAATTTATTGACATGATGACGAATGCGTATAAAATATTATATCCATATTCTAATTAAAATTTTGATTTATTAAAGTAAATAAATTTTATTGTACATACATATGTAATTAATGAAACTCAATTAAAATATTTTCCAAAATTTTATAAATTTCACAGTATTTTATTTGATTATTTTTAAAATTTCATGTTATGTTTCATAAATGTAATAAAAATTGACATATGACATGTGTTAAATAATTCACAATGCTGCTGAAGTTCAATACATTGTTATTACAATAAAATTTATAGCATATAATTTAGAGTTATAATTCTCTTTTAAGTTGAGAGAAAAATTACATAAATTACATATGAAATTAAAGAGATTTTTTTATTTAGTACATTTAATTATATAAAATGAGAATACGTCATTGTGAAATTTCTTAAAAATTAAATAAAAAAATACATTTAACTATATTCTATGAAATTTTAAAATAATGAAAATATTTTAAATCTATTTAATAAAATTAGTGAATATTATGTTAATGAGAATGAATATTGATTTAGTATTATATATTATTTTTTTATGTATGTGTATTTATGAATTATATTTAGTTGATGCATGTTTTACATATTATTATACTAATTAAATTATTTTTGATACCTAATAAATATAAAATTCGCATGACTTTGTCGTCAGATTATTGCTAAAATTTCTTTCTTAATTATATATTAATTTTTTTTAATATTTTGATTTCAAAAATTACAAATTTATGATATATTAAAGCCCTAATTTAATTGTCAATTAAAATTAAAAATTTTTATATAATAATGATTAACTATTGAAAACTGTGATTTTTTCGTACTAGACATAAAGGTTTTTTAACATCGAAATAAAGTTAACCTATGGAGGTTAGACATAGGAGTACAACTTAAATGTATGTATACATATATAATTCCAGTGTATATTTAAGGAGCAAAGTCAATTTTCGGTCTTTTTGATTAGATGTCAGTATATTAGGCCGTTTCATAAACGCAATATATCACGATTTATAGCGAAAACTGCGTGATATTTTGGTTTATAAGCAAATGTTGCTAACCTAATTTGTTTACAAATATGTAAAATTTATAAACAAACATGAGTAGTGCAGCTAAATCATATCAACTGTTTTGATTTTATAGAATAATCAAAAATATTTTGCACGTTCAACATGTTATGCGTTTGGAGTATTGCGTTTCGCAGTTATTGTTTCGTGGTATTACGTTTATGAAAATGTCTATTCTTCGTATAATTAATAATTTTAAATTTAACAATTATAGTAGGGCTATGAATTAAAAAAATGATAGTACTGAAATATCATTTCGACATTAGAGGTATTTTTCTATATTTCTATATTTTTGTTGTGATGTCATTTTGCTGTTACACTATTTAATTTCAATATTTTTTTCGAATTCAGTTGGATTGATTTGTTGCATGTTTTTTTTTCATAATATTTTTAAATCCTTTATAACTTAAAATAAGGAAAATAAATAAAAAAAATTATTAATTTGTAAGTGATACGGTGTAATCCCAAACCAATTTAATTGTCATTATTTTTTTTTTTCATTGAGAAAATACATAAAGTTGAGGATTTCTTAAAAATAAATTAACGCTGATTAATTTTTTTTTAATTTAAGTCATAATTTTTACGTTTTTCGTTTGGCTTTTTAATGCAAAACAATTTGAATTCTTGATCGAATTTTCCTCAAAATGGAGGATTTAGGCAATTATTGAAAACAATTTTATTTTTACATATAGATATGTGATATATTCATGTATGTGCATATATTTTAGATATTATTTTAGTAAGGTAATTATTATTTGTTGTTATCGTAAAATTTAAGTTTATAAATAAACAAAATCGAAAAAGTAAAGTGCAGAAAAAAATTTGACATTTTATTGTTTGAAATCCTCAACCAATTCGTTTTTTTTTTTTGTGAAAAAACAACCACATTTTAATAATTTTTTACAAAACTTAGTTTGAATTTTTAAGATATCTACTTAAAAAAAAACAAAAACTATAATAAAATAAAATTTTTTAAACTAAAAAAAGCCAAAATAATACTAAAAAAAAATAATGTCAAAGTAAAAAAATAATCTACAAAATTGATTTTTTATTTTCTTTTCTTAAAGTTTGTTTTTTTTTTTTGCTGGTATAAATTTTTTTTTCGTATTTTTTATCTTATTTAGTTTTTTTTCTGGTTTTTGGTTTGAGACTTACTTTCTTTTATTTCACAATTTGTTACTTTTGCTTTCCAATCACACGTCTGTTTATCAATATCGAAGGCTAGACCAGATGGGCAGGTAATTTGCTTAAGTCCAGATCTTGTACATCTATATAATTTATTATTATTATACAATCATATTTATATAATAAAATATGTATATTTGTAATGCAAAACAGCATTCATAATATTATTGTTTATTTTGTGTTGTTTTTTGTTTTTTTTTTTTGTTGTGCTTAATTTGTTTGAATATTTTATCTATTGAAACAACAAAAGTAAGTGTATGTATAATAAAAATAAAATTTCTCTTCTTTGATTTTGGAATACAGAAAATATTAAATACTTGAAAATTTGACAAAATTAATAATCGATGTATTTCACTTTTTGAGTTTTGTCCTCAATCCCTGCCAATAATCGATCGTAAAATTTTGATTTCATTTTTAACGATATTATATACATATGAATGTGTTTGGAAAAATGACAAATACAAGTTTATAATGGAACATAAATGTCTAGACTATGATCGTAAATTATGACATAACCTATTCACAATAATATCATAAAATATTCATATTAGTTAATGACAATTTTTGAAACTCTTCAGAAGTGTTTACACAATGTGATTTGTTTATATGAATATTTTTTATATTTAATTTTAATTTTAAATTATTATATTCATTGTTCCTACCTGTACTATATATAAGTATGTATAATATTTTGTAAGACGTTTTCATAAATTATAATTTATATTAACATATGATTGAGCTGAGATATTGTGATGGATATTTTTTTTTTGATATTTTTTAAGCAGAAAATATTAGAAAAAGTTTTAAAAAATATGTAAATTTAATGATCAATAAATATATGTAGTTATAAAAATAAATATTTTTTTATTTTTTTTTTATTTTTTTTTGCCAGAAATATAATATATGTATAAGATTGTTATATGTATGTCATAAAACATTTAAGTAAATATTTTAATAAAAAGATTATTTTATTTTAATATTCATTAGATGCATTGTTTTTTTTTATAAATTAGTTGCATATATATATATATAAAAAAAGTAGTTGGAAACCATTTAAAAAAAAGGAACACCAATCACAAAGTAAAGTAAAAAAAAATTGAGGTTAGTTACACACAAACATTAAAAAATATATATATTTATATATTTCTTTTTTTTTTATTTTAATCCTTCTTTTGTAATATATATCTATATATATAAAGTTTAGAACTTGCCAGAAAGCAAGATTTTTTTTTTTGCGGCAATTAAATAGAATGTGACCAATTTGTCTTTTTTCTTTATCACACTTACTTTCTTTTTGATCACAATTTGGAACATTTGCTTTCCAGTCACATGTTTGTCTCATAATATCAAACGCCAAACCAATTGGGCATCTTACTGAAGCTAATCTGGTTATTCCATTTTCACCAGCATTGTCGCATCTAATTAATTATATTTTATGCAGGTTGGAATAATAATTTTAAAACAACAAAAAAAAACATTTTTTTTTTAAAGTACAGAAAAAAAAAGCATAAAGCAAAATATTCTTTTGGAAGTGAAAAGTTTTCTTTTTAATTTTAATGGAGATGATATTCTACGCTAAATTTTAAATTCTGATTCTTATAGAAATGCATAATGCATTTTGAAAAGTTAAAAAAAAATAATTATGATAGGACATTGAAAGATAATAAAAGTATATAGAAATTCGATATTGAAAATTGTTTATACATATATATATAAAATATATAGAAAGCGAAAGAGAAACGTATATACCATATATTAATTAAATTGTTTAAGGATTTTCTTTCTTCATTTTTTAGCTCTTTTAATTATTTTAACTCTAATTAATTTATAACAAAATGTGAAGAAACTGCGAAAAAAAAGAAGTTTTCAATTTAAGAAAGCACATAATTGTAGAGGACGTAAATCAGTTTTAAAAACAAGATTTATTTTTTTGTAAAGTAGTTCATATAAAATTTAATATAGTAAAAATTAGTTGAATATTAAAATAGTGTTGCATATGTTTGAAATTTTTAAATATACATGTGATAGTTTGTAAAATTTACCTCACAACATCCCTACAATCTCCTTCTGTTGTTAATCTAAAATATTCATCCCCTGGACGATCTTGACATAATTCATCAATTGATGCTTGTTCACCTTCTTCATCGTCTTGTCTTTTGACACGTTGTGCATTTGTTGCTGAAATAAAATGAATAAAGTAATATTAAATTAAATTTATAAAACAAAAAAAAAAAATAAATTTCAAAAAATATAAAATAAATACATATCTGAAAAAATAAAATAAATAATTTAAAGATCCGGTTTGAAAAAAGCAAAAAAATTCTACATTCCGTTGAATATATTAAAAAATATTTTTGACACAATTTTTATATCATATTGACATTGTTATTATGCTTAATGTATAATCAACATAATAGTTTAACCATTATTAACATCATTATAATAATATTAATTTTTTGTATTTAACTTTTACTCTGCCATTCATACTCGTATGTGTGTATATATGTATATATTACCAAATTTGATAGCGCAGTAATAATGATTGTTTTTTTCGTATTAAAAATTTATTTCCATACCACTCGTATAAATTAAAATTTTTATAACAAAACTTGAATAACTAGTATATTTACTAATTCAAAAATGCCGGATGAATATAATTAATTTTTTTAATTAAAATGCTACTCTTACATTTACCTACTGCTGGAGTAGTTTTAGAAAATTAAAAATTTATTTGAAATTAAAATAAATGATCAATTATTTTAATACTCTACTTTCTATTTTTATGTTAAGCTGAAATTGCATTTTAAAATGATAATGTCAAAAATAATTGCTTTGAATTTTTTTTGACAGTTTAATTTTCAAATGCATTCTTAAATCAATGTGTAATTTTTTTCAATATGTCATATTTCTTTGCATACAAATTCTGATTTAGCGTTGAATTAAAAATTATTGTGAAAGTTAAAATTAATTTATTTGCAAGCATTAGATTGATAGAAATTCTCATAGCAAGAAGAATACAATGTATATGGTCACGAAAACATTGTTCTAAATATAATTATATTTGTATACGAATATTACGCCAAGTAGTCGACTTCAAGAAATTTTATAAGAATTTAAGATAAGTATAACACAAGCATTTAATTTGCCATCTTAAAAAATCTGTTACGTAGCGTTTACACATAACACATTTCTCTGATGAAAATTTGATTAAAGTTGAAGGTGTATTTGTAAAAGTAGTCGGATTTTGTTTTATAATAAAAATAGAAGGTTGTCCAATTCTTATCAAATAAAATCCGTGAACGATGACTTACAATTTTTATGTTATGTCAATTTATACTTGTATATACAAAATTATTGCATACTAAGTTGAAATCTGTTCTAAAAATCTGTTTTAAGGAAATAATTATGAAATTATTTAATCAATAAAAAAAGAATAAAAAAATTGAATAAAACAAGAATTTCAATATTTTTTTTTATTCTTAGAATATTTATTAATATTAATTAAGGAAAAATCTTTTGCGATTTCTAGTTAGCGACTACTTTTTTTAATACGATTTTTTTTTATATTCCGTTATTATAAAGTATATGTGTGTATTTACTAAAGTTATAAAACCAATCCTAATTTTATTGATGCCACATTTAACAAAAAAAAAAGTCAATGTAAACCGGTTTTCCTAGTTTCACTTTCATTTCATTCAAATTTGTATTTAGAAGGGGGTTATTACCATAAACTAAAGTCTAGAACAAATTCATATATTTTTAATGCTAATAAATTAACGGTATTAAAAGAGATGAAAAAAATCTCTTTTTAACTTAATTAAATTAAATACATTTAAAAATATAGGTTTACAGGTAAATATTTGTACTTTAGCAATTAATTATAATTTGTTGTTGCTGATTGTTTAATATTTCCCTATTGTATGTGAATAAAGAAGTTCTGATCATGTTGATAGTTAATTAATAATTTTGAAAAAAAAAATTTGTAATTAATTTTTGACAGATAAAATTTAACGAGAATTTGAGCCAAACTACACCATCGATCAGCCATTTATTTTTTATAAATTAGGACAAAAAATTAGTTCATTACCTGCGGCAAAGTTATTATTCTATTTACTTTACTTATAATTGGATTAGAAAATCATTTTTTGGTAACTTATAACCGCGAACCGAGAGAGACTTTTGAATTGGTAAAAAAATCATAAATTTTATTAATAGCAATAATGAGCTTTATTGTTAAGAGCAATAACGAAATCCCGGAAATCTACTTTTCGATCATACAAACTTACTAAATTTCTTTAACAGTTAAAATGATTGCAGTAAACATATCTCTTTGAAAAACTTTAAAAATATTTAAATTAATCTACAAAATAGGGAAGGGAAATTTTTATAATATTGGAAGGAAATATCCTACTTTACAAAGTATTGATTTAATATTCTCGGAGTTGAAAAAATATCCGCAAATAATTGTATTTAATATTAGTAATAACAATTAATTAATAATAAAAAACCAAATAAAATTCTTAAAAGATGTGGTTGCTAGACTTCCGTAAATTAAAAACTTTGTAACATTGTTGATTTGATCAAATTATTTTATAAAACGTAAATAATACCGATGCACTCTTATGCGTTAAACATTAAAAAATGTGCATGCTTTAAGGAAATTAAGAAATATCTATGTGTATATATATATAAACAGTATTAATTTTTTATTAAATAAATTTAAAATATTTGTTTTTCTTTATATTAAATAACAATAAATGCGGATTACGAAAACAAAATAGTAGGCAGTTTAAATAATAAAAATCTGCATGTTATTTGTTTTTTCTGAAGAACCGGTTACTCTTTTGTTTTTTTTTCCTTGCAGTGTGCATAATCTGAACTATGAAAATTTGTAATAAACAAGTATGTGTTTTTATGTGCAAGCATTTATATACATAATAATACATAATAAATACATAATAAATAGTAATTTAAAAAAAGTAACTTTTCCTTTCAGGTAAAATATATGTATGTAGATATAGACTAATTGAAAATTGATGTAAAATAAATAAAAAAAAATATTTTGATTTTCTGTTGTGAATAATACCAGTTTTTATGGTTTAATGTTGTGTTCAAAATTTTATGGTAAAACCAGCAAAAAGTGCGAATAGTTAAATTTCGTATAACACCTATTGTATGCAGAATATTTTATATGTGGGTTGTACACCTAAAGGAAGATCATTGTAAAATCGTATATACAAATGTTTTGCTAAAGGAATCGAGTTTCTCAAAATTTAGAAAAGTTTTAGTGATATCAGTAAAAAATGTTATTATAAGCAATAAATTATAATTGTATATGAATAGTATTCAAAAAAATTAATAAAAACATCTTTTTCGAATACAATAAGGAACAAAATATTCAAATTTCTTCTCATATAATGTTGGTTATAACAAATTGAATTTTTAAATTTTTATCAAAATCATTATCTACTTTTAGGGGTGTTTATAATTACGTAACACGAATGCGTGTTTAATTTATATGAGTTCTATAATGAACATACATCAATTTTAACTATTCAATATTAAAATTAACAATTTTAAAATATATAATTAATTACAATGTATAATCTAAATATTTCAACGTATATTAAGTATATATGATTATGTGGAACCTTTATGTAAAAAAGAAAATATTGTAGACTCGTTACAATTTTTAGAGTAAATATTTACGGTAAAACAAGTTATAACACCTGTGCTTATGCAATTTTTTTTTAAAATATTTATGTGCAATTAAATTTTTTTCTGCAATTTCATTGAATTCGTGTTAATAGCTATTATATAAATTAATTATATATAGTGAACATAATTTTACATAATAAAATTTATTATTGTGTTAAATTAGTTTTGTTTTATTTTATATTATGTAATATTTTTTTTTTCATAAAAAGGCTATGTAGTTTTGGATTTCGGAAATGTCAAAAAAAATATAATTAATAATAATAATAAATTTTAATTTCTTCTCCAAGTTATATTATGCCTATTTTATTTATGCCTAAAAATAAAAATTGTATTTTAGTGAATTTTGGAAAAAATTATTTGAATTAAATATTTTCTTATATGTATAATAACCGGAAAACAGTAAATATAAATAAATATATATATATATATATATATAATATATTTATACAGAAATCAATAAATCTAATTAATAAATATTATTTTAGATTTTGTTTTTCTTTATTTTCAATTATTTTGCTAATAAAATCACAATATATATTTATTACTATATCGTTAATTTATATTTATACAGATCGGTAATTAACTGGCACAATATGGTATTATACATTTACTTATTATATATTATAACTTTTACTTTTTATTGTATTGATCAAGGTTAAATATTTTGTATTAACATTTATGAAAAATAATAAAAAAAAAACTTCTTTTTATTCCACTTAAAGAATTTACTATATATTATCAGTGACGTGGCGCCCAAACATGTTATATAAATTAAATTTGAAAAAAAAATTAATAATAAAATTTTGTTTTCTCTTTTGTACTTGTTTTCCTTTTTTTTTCTTTTATGTTTTCAAAAGTTTTCAAAATTTTTATTATTAGTATTGGTTCACAAAAATTCACTCCAAACACTACAAGGTTGTGTAATCGTTATATTTTTTATGCAAGAATTGATTAAATAAATTTTAGAATTAAAAACTGGTTTCTCTTCGATTTCACTATTAATTTTCATTATTTTATTGTTATTTTTTGTTTTATAATTTTTTTGGTTTAGTCCTTAAACTCGATTTTATTTTTGGTTTTTATTAAAATTAAAAACCGGATCATCAAATATATTAATTTTATTTATACATACATATATATTTATTATATATAAAATGTATATTAAAAATTAAAAAAAAATAGTAATAAAAAAAAAATATAAAAATATAAAGGACACTTACCAATTGCAAATAAAACTAAAAATAGACTAACTGACTTTAAAACACGCGCCATCTTGCGTGTTATAAGTTAATTAAAAACTCTAAAAAATTAATAAAGAGAGAGAAATAAAAATGATTTTAATATTTTTAATATATTTTGTTCTCATTTAAATATTTATAAATTTCACTTATTTAATGAAAAAAAAAAAGAAAAAAAAAACCAAAAATAACATAATTACAATTTAAAATTTTTTTTTTTTCAAATTCTCCTCTTTTAATTTTATATAGTATGTATAGTAAATGAACTTTCAGGTATGAGGTGCAAAACAAGAATGAATTCAAAAAACTTATTTTAAACAATTATAAATATATATAAACAAAAAAAAAAAAGAAAAATAAAATTTTTTTTTTGTTTTTGAAAAATTCCTCTCTTTTTTTTTCTTTTTTTTTTTTTCTTTTTGGGCTGAAGAAGTGCTTGAACTTACAATCAGCACTAACTTATGACACAGCCACACTTACACTAGGTGTTGCCCACTGTTTTTGGGTTCTATTTATTAAGACTTTCACAATTATTATCGGTAGAGGGAGTATAAAGCATACTATAATGTCATACGATATATTGATATTAGTGTCTCTATATAAAAATTTCAAATTTAAAGAGGTAACCATACGAAAATTTTTTTAAAAACAGAAAAAAAAAGCAGTAATAAAAACATTTAAAAGATTTGGTTTTAAAAGAAAGAGACAAAAAAAAAAACCACAAAAAAAAAAATAAAAAGAAAAAAAAAATCAAACAGAAAATGCAACATTATTTACCCACTCTTTTTCAATATTGTTTTGTTGTAGTTGGCATACAAGGTACTTTTTGATACTCACAGTGTCGTGTTTTGGTTTTTTATTAAGGTTTGGCAAAAACATCATATAATTTTTCTCGGTATTTTTTTTTAAGGGGAAATTACTGTTACCAGTTTTTTTTGCTTTTCATTTGGATTTTAATTTATTTATTTACATTGTTTGTTTTTTAGTAGTGTCTATATATATATATGCATGTATATACAGTGATGCTATATATTATTTTCACAATAAACCCATATTATAAAGACGTAAGTATGTAAGTATACCAATTTTTATATGATAGTGATTAATGTTATGCATATAGGAATTAGCAATTTGTAATACTTATGTAAAAAATATGTATATACTTAATATAGATTATTAAATGTTTACTTGCATGTATATATAAAACGAAAATATTCACGTAAGTGTAGATATATAATATAGAGAATAAAGCAGGTAACAAAATACTTGTTTTATTAATTTTTTATTATTTTTTTTTTCATAGTTATCTCATTACCTGAATAAATCATTGTTATAAATTTTAAAATTAGTTATTTTTTAAATTTTTGTATATATATACATAAAAAATGTTATATTAAAAGGGGAAATAATAATTTTTTTCTTGTTGTATTTGAACGGGGAATTGGATGTGGTGAATATAAAATTTTAATCTCTTCTTAATTAATATAAACTCATGCAAAGAGTTTAATTAGAATATTATTAGCTACATTTTTTTTTGTAATTCTATGCAATACTACACTATATAATGTAGTATTGTATATATACATATGTATTATTTTTTGTGAAATTTTTTTATAATTTATTTGAACGTTAATATTAAGAGATTTATTTATTTAATTTAATATTAATAATTATAAGCTATTTTTGATTTGTTTGATTATACAAATATATATCTGATCATTTATTATTTATTTATATTCGGTATATTATTATTCATTCAAATAATTCAATTTGAATCAATATTGCTTGTATTTTGAAAAATTTAAAGAGTTTTAATGTAATCTATATCTACGATAATAACGCCTTTAAAAGAACTATTAATATTTATTTTATTAACTTGATTATTTAGTCATTGTAAAATACGAATTAATTTTTAAGAGTTACCATTGAACTAATAAATTAAAGTAAAAAAATAGTTTAGCATTTTATTGTTCTAGAATGTTGGATGGATTTTATGAAATTCTAAATTATTTGATTTTAGATTTTTTAGAATTAAATGAAAATAATTTTCGTATAATTTTATTTTTATTTTAATCTCAATTTCAATTTAATAAGAAAAAAAAAAGAAGAAGGTGTCAAATTTTGACTAGTTGCATAACAAGTTTTTTATGTATACATAATGAACGTATAGTTATATTAATTATTATTTGTTTACTTAATTAAATTTAAATGATTCAAAATATTAATACAAATGATTATTAATTGTAATAAATGAAAATTAAAAATAAATTAAAGAAAAAAGAAAAAATTTTTTCATTGTCGTAATTTTTACATTATATTTATGGTATATTTATACGAGTAGATATAACCGTTATCCGTATTACCATAAAAATTTGTAAAAAATAAAATTTTATGATCTGAAAAAAATAAAAACAAAACCTATATTTGGTGGTATAATACTGGTATAAAACTTACAAAAATTGAATATATTTATAAACATTAAATTAAAGTATGTCGGTTGTATTGTGTGATTATAAACAATTGTTAAGTAAAAATTTAATTTAAATTTAAATACATAATTATATTATTTATTTAATTTATTATAATTATTATTACTTGTAAAGGTATAACTTAAAGCATGTATTTTTATTAAACTTCCATTTAAAATATTTCTTATTGTTTAATATACTATAGTAATTTTTTATTTTTAGTTTATTTATTTTAAGTAAATTTTAATTTAATAGTAATTCATTACGCGTTCTGGGCAGGCATTCAAATTGATATAAGCAAAAAAAAATATAACAGATTGTTTTGAGTTTACCATTCGGTATATGTTTACGTATTATCTTAACAATAATATATGTATAAAACTATTATAACACTATAATCTTTTATACATGATTTGTGATAATAAATATATATATTTTAATAAATTTATTTGTTGTGTTTCATTTAATAGGAATAGAGCATATTATTAGAAATCAGTAGAGTCGAATCACTCATTGATCGCTAGCATTTGGTTTTATACATTTTTAAATTTATTTGTTAGTAATTTGCACCCTACACAAGTTCTTTGCAAGCAAAAACAATTTTTTTATAAATACAAACAAATTTTTTGCATTTACATCCTTTCTTCTTTCAATTGAAGCACTATAGGTAAAAAAAAAATACTTTTACCACAACATTTTTTTAATTTAATCTATATGTAAAACTGAATTCTAACATTATACAATTATCATTAAAGTTGTCATAAATTTACTGCAATAAACTTAAATAAAATTATTTGAAAAGGTAATTTTTGCAGGGCTTATAAGTGGTTCCAACTCTACTTATACTAAACTTTAATATTTTATATTATAATATTTAATATTTTTCTATTTATACCATAGGTTAAGTTAGACTAGTTTGACAATTTTGAGTTAGACAATTCCGTACCTTATGCAAATATGCTTAATACAATTCAAATAATAATATTTTGACATAAATATAATTATATCAAAAAATATTTCAGTTAAATACTTGAAATAAAATTTTAATATTAATTAAAAAGTCCAAAATATTATTTACATATGACTTTTTATATGTCATTAATTATTTAATAATCTTTTGACAAAATCAATACCGCAAAAATAAATTTATAATGATGTTGACACCATATAAGTGATTTCTAATTAAGTGATTGGTGTTTTGAAAATTTAATTACAAATAATTAACTTTTGAATTTAGCTATGTAAGTATTTAATTAAAGAGGATTTAAATATTTTTTTTTTTTGCGACCACAAATTATGTTTTATTGCATATTTGATTGGGTTTAAATTGAAATGGTATTCATTTTTGTATATAAACCAAATATTGAAAAATTTTCAGGATACGTGAACCACTATTGAATTTTATTTGATATATTAAAAAAGGAAATTGATTTCTAGAACCTAACTGACGTTAGACATTAGACGTTAGAAAAATTACCAATTAAAATAATTTAAATTTTAATAATGGATGATTAAGATTAGAATTTTTATCTGCACCTGTTACTGCAGTGATAGCATTGCATATTCAGTGCGGCCTTAAGATGTCAAATTGTTATTTAAATTTTCTATTTAAAAAACGCAGTAAGATTCAGCATACCTTTTTGCATATTCTGCTATGAGCTTGAGTTGGCATCCTCTCAATTTTATTAATTTTTTTTTATAATAAAATTAAATTTGTTCAATATTTGAAAAAAACACTGTTGAAAACGCAATATGTTTTTTAGGAAAAAAATGTTTATTTTATACAAATATTAAATACATATCACCGATTCAATAATTGGATGTCCACTATCCTTAGCTATTCAGTTACTAATATATTCATCTTGGCATAATCCGCACTACAGCAACATACTTTCTGAAAATGACGAGAAAAGGTAGCAAAATACAATACAATTCTTTTTTAATTGATAATGTACAAATTGTTTTGGATGGCCGTAGTGCTTTTAATATTACGCTAATATATAAACATATAATTTTTTTTTAAATTGTATTGATAATGCACACATCGTTAGAATTAGTTACCCATACGCTATTAAAATAATTTATAATAGCAAAAGGGAAAAAAAAGTGTCAATAAACTTTGGTCAAAACTTAATGAAAAAATTCAAATAAATAAAATAAATTGCATTAGAGCGCATTTGGAATTAAAATTTTCTGTTTATTTTATACACATTCTTTGGTCTTTAAGCATAAAGCCCACGAGTAAAATATTAAAATAACAAATTGCATATATTTGTATATACTATTTATGTATGCATGTACACAAAAAAATAAATACGAAACAAAATGATTATATTTAAAAACAACCATAGCCAATAAATGTAATTAGCAGAAGAGTTTGTTTTTAAAATAATTAAGGTATTAAAGAAATAAATACAGAGTGTAGTAAAAATGGGCTTTCATTTTGGTGTGTACTTTTATTTTAGTATGTTTGTAACACTATTACACCGATTACCATGAAACTTTGGGAAGAAAGATATTTAAAAAAAAAATCCCGTAATAGTTTCCACAAAAAAGAAAAATAAAGAAAAACTTGTCAGTTTAGAAGTTATGGCAGAAAAATCAAGTGAATATGAAAAATATGTAGTAAATTTTTAAATTGTCCAAATTCGTTTTAATATTGTAAGATTAACTAGTTACTTCTCCGCCAAATTTTAATTTGTCAAAATTTAGTTGAAAAAATCTAAGAAAACTGATGGTCTACGCCAAATTAAATATTATAACTAAAAGAAAATTTTGTGAATTTTTGATATGAAAAAATTTTAGTGAACAGATGAATGGGTATGAAAAAATTTAAAGAGGCCTAATCACTTATCAGTTGTGCGGCGACGACGATTGAAATATTAAAACAAAATGTCATCTCTACTAATTGTTAAAATGTTAATTTATTTAATTGAATTGAGTGTTACCAAATTTTTATAACTT